GGACATTGTTTCGTTGAACATATCTATTAACGACTTTACTTTAAAATACTTTCCGGCCTCATTTCATCTTGGACATTTAATGCTCTTAATATTAAATAAAACCTGTCCCTAGCCATAAATGAATGTGGGCTTAGGCGCATTAAATAATGTCGAGACCAATATTCGGCCATTCTATTAACTTTCACGGTACCCATAAATAAAATTATGCCAATAAATACCGTGAACTCCTCAAGACTTATCTCCTTCCATTTTGTAAAACGAGCTTGTGCGGTGCGTGCTGCAATCTTCAATTCATTGCCGCACTTGTTTGTACAGTTTAAAATTAAATCAATGATACGACTATTGAAAAATAAAAAGAAAAAATCTATCGGTGTTTTTCCACTCATGTTATGAGGCGGTAATAAACCAGGTGTGCCCGTAAAAGGAATCTCGGCCATATTCGAGGGGTTTCCATTGAACCAATCGGTAGTAGGGGCTTCCTCAGTTGTATTTTCAACGTCCTGTTCTAACTGATCTTCAGCACAAACGGCTTCTTCATCTTCTGTGTTTTCATTTACCAAATCTTCCAGAAAGTTATCCACATCCTGTGCCAAAATCCCATACAATTCTGCATCACTTATAATAGCATCAATGCATGGCATGTCTGATAAGTTTATATGGCTGGGAGACATCATTCCGGATAACTACATAGATATGAGATCCCAATTTGACGGGCCAGGTTCAGGGGATGGAGGAGTAGCCATTTTGGTTAGCAACTGAAAAAAATAGTAGAATAAGTTATCTAGCAGTCAACACACTTTATTTTATACGTTATAAAGGTGTTGTAACACAGACGAACACCACATACACACACACACACACTCTCTCACACAGATATACATTCTCACATTCACTGTCATACACAAGCACACACACATACACACTCACACAGTGTTTGTACATGTGAGTGTGTATGAGTGTAAGTGTTTATCTGTTTCGTCGAATGTTATGTATTTAAGCGCTTATGTGTGTGTATGTGGTGTTTGTGTGTCTATGTATGAGTCTGGGGGTGTTTGTCTGTTCATTTGTTTCAAGAGAACACCTTACATAGGGTACCTATCTTTCCGCTTAACGTAGAATTTTAAGTGTTTTACCTCTTACTTAACATTGTGTAGTTAAAGACAGAATAATAAACGAACAATTTAGAAAATTTTGTATTTTTTTTAGTTCTGAACACTGGTCACGAAATGGGATTTTTTCCAAAAACCATAAAATGTTCAATAACTCAAGACTGATTTATTTTGGCATATGAGTGTTCCTACAAAAGTTGTAGCACGAGACCTGTGCTACATGCCCTATCTAGGTTTTCCTCTAACATGGAATCACTCTGTCCCTCATGTTAAATTTCAAAAAGCTCATGTTAAATTTCAATGATTGAAAAGACTAGAAAAGAAAAAAAAGAACATTGTTAAAAAAACTCACCTTGTAAAGTCAAGAATCAAAACAGAGTCCAAATTACTAGCCGGGGTAGTCACTGAAGCAAAATCTCGAAGTCCAGATACACAGTCCACAGTTGTTAAAAGGCAAACTAAGAGACTTCAGAAGCGAGCATTAAACGGTCACAACGTGCTTACGTCTGATCACCATAAATAGCAAAACAGAAGTAAACGAAAAAACATCATCGATAGTTAAGTAATTTGCGCGTGAGAAACCTTGTTAAGTGATTTATGGCACCGACTTCTTTTGTTTTTAGTTAAATAACATCTTTCCCTAGCCCATCAATAAAAAGGGTCGGTCGGCACGGCATATTAACAATAAGCAGTAGGGCAATAAAAAGCTTAAAAATCTTTAAAACATCTTTGATATGACTGCATAGCATAACAACAAAAGATAGTGCTTTTCTGAGAATCGTTTTTTGTTGTTGTTTCTCACCAAAAATAAACTAAGTACATTGTCTTGATACCTAAGGAATGCAATTACTAGTCCGGTTAAATTTGGACATACTTCGAGAAACTACCTAGTTATTACCATAAACTTGCAAAAGAGCATATCCACAAAGCAAAAAAAGTGAAAACAGATATTTTTTAAATATTTAACTGTCATGATTAGTGCTATTCGTTTGTAACCCTTAATATTAAATAACATTTAAATAACGCTTAAAATGGTTTACCATCCCCGAAGAGTGTGAAATCACGCTACACCTTAAAGCGATTTCTCTGGAAAGGATCTACGTGATAAATAAAGACACTAATATTTTTAGAACACTGAAATATGTACTATTGATAAATTTAAATTAGTCAGTTTTTTGGTTTCAAATATTGGCTCCTCTGGGGTGCCACCCGCCATGCACAAAAGTTACCTTTCATAATTATTGTTTCTATTGAAAAGGTTTACAACATCTGAAATGTCTTTTTTCACGCTATATCTTGAAACTAATACTAGTATCGTAATCTACGTGACAAATAAGGAAACTTTCATTTAGGGCTAGCCTCTGAATAAAGCTTTTTTAGCGGAGTTTTACAGGAAAACATTTTGGCTCCTCTCGGGCGCCACCCGCCATACACAAAAGATACACATGGCGCCTCTGCGGAGCCATCCGCATTGAATCGGTTAATTAGTTTGAAAAATACTTTTTTTTAATTATGGATTTTCTTTAACGTTAATATTTTTTTATGATTATTGGCAAGTAGCGTTAGATGTGTGTTCATTTATTGTCGCGATGGTAACGACACGCTGTATAGGTAGCTTTTATCGTACATTCGCCAAACATTAATAGCATAATTTGTTTTATGCTAACAAATACCTATGTCATGTATGAGCATACTGACATTGAATAAAAATATGGGGTTTTGGAAATAACACATTATTTGATTTGCTAAATGTAGAAAATAATCTGTAATTTCTAGTTGTTAAAACTCCTTTTTTCAACATGGTTAGGTCAAGCTCCATACTAAAGTGACTATCACCACTTGCACGAAGTTTCAAGTCGGATATATTATGACGACAGACTTTACCCGTCAGATTTTAAGACTAAAATGACTGCTAGAACGTGGTATTATCAGATGAAATGGGGATATATACTATTTTTACCTTATTGTACGGCTTGTAATTTTGTAAAGAAGTTTATTTGAAAAACTATAATTCAATCATTAACAAGCCTTCCCACCCAGATTGTAATAAGACGAGACAAAAACTGGATTTGGAACACAGGATCTCTTATTATAATGGGCTCGACTATTTTTTAACGAAAGAAATTTAATAAATAGATTACATTCTATTCAAAAATGTAAATATACAACCACATCGATATTTTATTGGTTAGATTATAAAAATTGGACCACTTGTAAGAAGTCCACGCAGTAGTGTAACAATATTACAAACAAAAATCTCTACATAACAGAACTTACACATATTAGTCAACTTTATTTTATACATACTATGGTACACGATTAATTAACATTAATATTTACCTAACTTTATAGTTTATACATTCTATGTATAATTTCTTCATTTTGTAATAAGTTAATAAAACTATAAAATATTATCTTCAATTAAACATTAGGCATTTAATAAGGCTAATGTAGGTATTGGAAAGAATATTTGGTGGTTCTTACAGGTCTTTCAATACAACACGAAGTACTTATGTAATAAAATAGAAATTTATACAAAGCACTTTGTACTTGGCTTTTCATTATTACTTTCCCAATTCTGGAATAAATCGAAGTAATGCAAGGATTCATGAAAAACAAAATATAAAGTAACTTCGCATAATATAAGACATCTTTCTACTCATTTGGCTGACAGTAAAATATAAGGTACATAATAAAAAAAATGCCGTCAAATTATATAACATTTATCACACATTCCACCAAACTGCTGTAATGTAAAATGTACTTTGTGTTAAATATCAAGGCTCTGAGACGATATCGTAATGCTAGTCTGGAAGGACTTAGTAGAAAGTTGAACACTAATTGATATAAAACAAAAATAAGTTTATTTATCTAATAGACTAGTCACGACAGCTTGGTACTCTGTAACTGCTTATATAAGAAAAATCTTGCACCGATTGCGACTGGCAGTGTATAATGCTCCTTCAATTAATGTAATGTATTTAAACTGCACCAATGCCAAATTGTTGTCACCAGTCCATTGATTTATATTGATTTAATAAATTTCTCCTTCTACGTAATATATTAGCTGCTCAAAAGTAGTAGTATTATAATATTTATGTGCTATACTAACAACGCATTGTCAACAATTTAATTATAATGTTTACAATATCGAAAGCGTCCTAGCAATGCATTTATGTATTTCCATACATCAAAATTTCATTTCGAAATTCACTTAATGCACTGGTGATATATTTCTTTGAAACAATACATTTATTTAGAAGGAATGTTTGTAATTTAAGAATGAATGAGAAACAGTATAGATATTTTCAGATAGTAAACAATATTTTATATTTCATTTTACAACCAATACAACAAATTTCAACAGTAACAGTCACGATAAACTGTGGTAAATAAAGAGATGGATCTCAATAGGAACACACGAGGTGGCTTCATTTGCATTTTAATTTGACATTTCATTACGATACACTAAGTGCTTCTCGCCTAATGCGGTGGAAAGACACCAATAATAAAACATATGGCAAAGAATAACTTAAAACCGCATCGTGTTTTCCTACCTTTTGGCATTTCAAAACAACCGATCGTGCCACATCAGTAAAAATCTTTGTCTAACTCTATTGATGAATTTTCCTAGTTATTATTATAATAATTGGATAGTACTCCTCATTGACTATGAGCTGCAAATAATTTTAACGCGTTCCTAGCTTCTTTACCCTTAAATATATCTAGATAATCTTATGTACAATCTAAAGATAATTGTTCAAATTTTTTAATAATTACAACACGCAAAACCTCCGCGCGGGGGGTTTCATACTAGAACGTCACTATGATTTTGGCCAAACGTGCAATTTCATTCGAGAGATAAGATGCAAGGGGCGCGCTCAGGCGTCAGTCCACACGGGACGCTTCCGTGTAGGTGTCGTCCAGGTAGCTCTGCAGCACGTGGGACTGGCTAATGTGGGAACTCAACGCGTCAAAGTTCACGTTCTGGTCGGAGAAGGCGTTGTGCGCTTGATGCGGCGGCTCCACGCGGAACTCGCCCAACGTCCACGGGTCGTTCATTTCGTTGGGCCTGCGTATGCCGCTGTCAAAGGACGGCAGGTTGCTCCAAGTCTGGGGCGGCGGCGTGTTCAGCATCGTCGGCATGTTGTCCACGTTGCGCGGCTGCATAGTGGGCTCCGCGCCGAAGGCCGACGAACCCCAGACCAGCGACTCTATGCCGCCGGCGGGCGTGTTGTCGACCTGGCCGAACCCCCACGAGTTGGGCACCTCCGGAGGCGGTATGCTCTGGACCATCTCGGACATTTTGGACACGGCCCGCCCGTACATGTCCTGCGGCCGGCCACTCAACATGGGCCTGGACGTGTGCCCGCGATCCGGGCTGGGCAGGTGGCATTCGGGACGCATCATTGGACTGTACTTTCCCACTCCGGGGCTCTTTTTGTTACTATATACATTATCAACACTAGGCCTGGGCGAATAGGGGCTGTGGTGCATCCGATCCTGACGCGACATGGGGCTGTATTGGCCGGGTGTTTTGTTGCAGTTGTTACGGAACGCGTCACTTTTTACACCGAGGCCGGGGTCGGGACTCGTATGGGTGGAGGGGTGAGGTGAGAAGGGCGTATGCTGTTTTGGCATTGGACTGAAATTGCCAGTGTTCCATACGCCGGATTTCTGAAGGTCCGCTTTCACAATCTGACTCGTGTCTGGACTCGGTTGTGCGGAATAGGGACTAGGTTGTGACGAGTATGGACTAGGTTGTGTCGAGTAGGGGCTCGGTTGGGTGGAGTAGGGGCTGGGTTGAGCAGGGCTAGGTTGAGCGGAGTATGGGCTCCTTTGGGAGGAGAATTGGTTATCTTGTCTAGTCATAGGGCTATAGCCGCCGGAATAGTTCCAGCTATTGGGATTTTTTATGTCCGGTTTCAGGTTGTGAGTTTCGGGACTAAGTTTGTTTTCTACTGATGTAGTTGGACTACATTGTTCGACTACATTGCTATGCTTCAACTTGCTAGTATTGTGGTTCTCTAATCTATTGAGTGGGCTAGCTTCGGATTTATGGGTGGGTGTGGTTTTGAACTGTCCCAAACTCCACGAGTTATTGCTTTTTATTGATTCTAATTGTACATCAGGACTATTAGGCACTTGGCTATCGGGTTTTCGGACGGGACTAAAGTGTGGACTCCCGAGGTCCGTTTTGACCGGTTCCGACCTCGGGGTGGAGGAAGAATCTGGTTTCGATTGAGCAAGAGGACTCGACAAATTGGAAGTAGGAGTCCTGGACTTTTTGTTGTTCACAAACGAGGTGACAGTTCCCCTTACTTCTTTCGATGATTCCACTGTCTTAATATTTACGGAAGGGAGAGATGATTGATTACTAGAGGGGTTGCTACTGGCGTCGGATACACTTTTAGGTTCTTGGAATACACAAGGGGAAGACTTTTCTGAAGATTTCCGTTCAGCTTTGGCACTAGTGTTTTCAGATACGTCTTTCCTTGGGGATGCTTTAGGTGTATTACTACCAGATTTTGAATCGGCCTCTTTCTTTGCGGTCTTCACTTTTTTGTCATTGTCGTCCGAGTCATCTTTTGGTTTCGCCTTTTCTGGATCCAAGCTGTCTTTTAGGTCTTGCAGTTCCTTTCCAGTGTAAAGGCGCTTCATGCCTCGCGGCAGGGCACGGCACGAGCTGAGGTTCACGGATTCTAATTGTGTACACTTTAATAAAACTTTTTTCAATTGCTCCAAAAATATTGCCGATCCACATAAGTTGAGTATTCTGAAAGGACGAAAATTAATTAAATAACAAAAAATAATGTACTTATTAAGTAATTATAACTTTATTTTTTTGCGCAAACTAATAGTTTTCAATGACGAACAACTACTAAAGTTTTAATTGGTAACTAAACCCACAATGGGTAAATTTATTAACATTTAAAATAATAATAAAATTCTGTACATGCATGTGTAATTGGTCAATCTTACTCTCAGGTAAGTACGCGTCAATTCAAAATTTAAAAATAAAGACCTAAATTGTTAGACAGCCTGATAAAGTGGACCACGGTCTTACAACTCAGCAGAACTCCGATATATGGAGTGACTGTGTCTGATTGTGTGTATATAGAGAATGACTTCAGTAACAAAATAATCCAGATGACGCTGCAGTCGAGGTACACATGAACATATCCAACATTTTTAACCCTATATTCTATAATGAACTCGTTTTTCGGATTGTGAGGTTATTTCAGGGTTGCGTCATTTAGTATAGTTAACCTGCTACCCTCGGTCCCAGCGACTGGTGCGTTAAGAGGCCCACATCGAAATCCAGGGTTGCCAGGCCTGTATGTAAACCATTATGGGTTACTTGCCTATGCCATCTACAATGAACCTTTTGTTGTGGGTTCGATCGTCACACCGAAAGAAAATTTAGCACTCCATAAATTACTGTTTCGATCTAGGCCGCGTCACAATGTATCATAGGGCTAGGTAGTGTGGAGTATGAGCTCCTCTGGGAGGAGAATTGGTTATCGTGTCTAGTCACAGGACTGTAGCCGCCGGGAAAGTTCCAGCTACATAGTGTGTGTTGTGTCACAGTGTTTCATAGTGGATTAGTCGTTTTAAAAAAAGGTTATAAGAGATGAATATGGCCATGACAAAGTACTAAGACAAGGTTAAGGTTGTTATACGACTTTTGGATTTTACTCCACCTGAGCTTGCTGTTAGGGGATTCAGCGAGGGCTGCCAAAGCATCGCCGAGCACCCTGGATGCTGACGCCCAGGAGAGGTCCAGCTCCAGAAGGCTATGGGACCACTTCTCGCAGATCAGCTCGAGACAGGCGCTGCTCTGTCGTAGCACGTTGCAACCTATTACAGCGCCGCAAACATCTCTCGTTTATGCCCCGATAAAAAAACTTTGATAATTAGAAATAACACTTATATCCTTTAAAGTTCTTCGCGCTAAGCTTAAATGTGCGACTTAATTAACCGCCTCAATACACTATAGCAGGTATGAATATTTTCTTCCTATCTTATTCATCTTCTTTTAAAAATTCGGTATTCGGCCGAACACTGAGTACTATTAGGCTAAACACTAAAGCTTTACTTTCAATACAGCGTGTCTTTACAATCGCGACAATGAATGAACACACGTCTAACGCTACTTTCCAATAATCATAAAAAAATATTAACGTTAAAAAAATCCATATTTAAAAAAAATATTTTTCAAACAAACTAATTAAGTAAAAAAGAAACATAATTTGTAGCATCCTATACAACTACAGCTGACTGATTCATACATTCAGAGACTTTTTCATTCGTTGCCACAGCGTCGCATTACAAGCCAATTTACTCAAGAAAGAAAGAATCTATAAAATTCTTTGTTTGGGAAAATTTATTAACTCGGTAAATATTGATGTTTAAAGAATGTAAATGTTTTTCGCTGGTAGGGCCACGCAGCAGCCTCGGCTGTTGCGTCGTCCGGGTCTTCTACATGGCCTTTGTGGGGCCTTGCAGGTGCGGGTATCGAGGCTTAACCTCATGACCCGTGCTTCTTCTCGGGGGCCATTAAGGCACCCCGGTAGTTGGGGCCTATATAGGCGCTACGGTATATACGTTGTTAACGCAGGAACGATTTAACCTCGTTGCTCGCCTAGATGCCCGGCGAGGAGTGAGGTTAGTGTGCGACTTATCGCACTCCAGGTTGCCAAGCTTGCCGTTGTTGCTGCTATTATGCTATTAATGGCCTCATTTGCGACGCGTATTAGAAGTCGCACCACTTCCGTAATGTTGTCTGTTGTAATAGCTTCCGATGTACGCTGGTGTTCGCTGGGGTGGTGTTCTCGACGTACGATTGGCTCCGCCCTTATGTTGTCCCTGAAGCGTATTGTTCTGCCTTCCCCGCTAGGGGGGGGGGGGGGGGGGGGGGGTGTGTTTGACGGGGGGGGGGGGGGGCGATTTATCGCTGTCGTCTCCGTCTCCGTAGTTGGTATTGGCACCGATGGTGCGTCGCTCGCCGACGTCGCGGGGGCATCACGTCCGCGGCGTCTGCGTCGGTGACTTCTTATCCGCTGTGTAGGCGGGTTAGCTGGGGGTTGTAGCGTAGTAACTACTGTGTTGGTTCTTGCGTCTGTGTCGACGATATTGGTAATCCGCTGTACCGATGACATAAAGTCCCTATATATACCCCGCGGCAGTGGTTCGTGCCGCGGTAGGGGGTTGTAATGCGGTTGCGCCTCTACTTGTTTGCTCCGGGTCGGTCGGAGGGGGGGTAGATGAGGTTGGGGGCGGGGGGGGAGCTCCCCCCTCCCTTCGGTCGTTCCCTTGTTCGCGCCTTTCTCGGCCGATTGTCACCCAACCGTCCTCCGTAGGCGCGTTTCTTCGGGGTTCCGGTCTTTGTGGGTGCAGTTTCATACCCCGTTTTCTTGCCTCCCTTATGAAGGCGGGGCAGCGCCGATCATTGGCGGGATGCCGCTGGCGACAGTTTGCGCATCTGGCTGGAGTTGTAAGCGGCATAGGGCAGTTTGCCGCAATATGATTATCTGCACATCTGACGCACACAACGGGTCGATGGCAGTTATAGGAGGCGTGTCCAAATTGCTGGCATCTGTGGCATTGCGGTGGGCCGGTTCTACCTCTCCATCCTTCCACAGTAATGCCAGGCATATTAAGTAATTCGACTGTATCATACAGTCTGGCGAGTTCTCTGTTATTGATGCGTTCTATCTGTACATAGAATATGCATCTTGTGCGGTTTCTGGCCGGCGGTATTAATTTAGTGTATACCGCCGGGAAGCCTAATTCTTTTAGGGCTTCTGTGATGTCCTCCGGTGGGGTGGTTTCGGGGAGCCCTCTAATCCCGACCTTAGTAGGGAGCTCGGTAGCGGGTGCATAGCAATGCCACTTAATTGCACTGTTTGTTTCGGTGGCATTTGCTAAGTGTCTTTGTACGACACGGTACTCATTCGCGGATTGTGGGAGAAAGCGCATTCCTTTGCCGAACGTACGAGCGTTGGGGGCGTGTCCCAGTTTGCGCTTAAGCTCCGCGAAATGGGTGGTCCAATCAGGTAGGTGTTCTACCACTATTGGAGGGTAGCCCTTTTTGGTGGTTTCATGAGGCTCCGTGGTGGCTTCAGGTTGTGGTTGCTGCGATGTGGATGGCATCGATGGCGGAGTGGTGGCTCGAGCGATTGTCGCATAGGACGTGCTCTGCGTTAGATTTTGTTGGATTTCCTTTATTTTCGATGGGGCTTCATTGCGCTCGGGGGAGCTTCTCACCGTGTCGTACGACGGCGAACGCGGGGGTTGCGAATGACGCGTGTATGCGGCTGCCTCGGGGTTGCGGTCATCTTCGCTGTCGGATAGAATTGGCGATCCAACACACTGTCGTTTTTCGTACAACGACGCTTCCGTTTCAGGCGGCGTATGTCGCCTACGAGTCTTACGGCGGTGGTACGTCTTGGCCGGGGTGGATGCGTACCTAGACGCACCACCGTCGGCCTTGACTTCCGCCACCCCCGAAGTGCTTGCGGCGCTCCTGCGGTACTCCTCTTCGCTTGTAGAGAGGTCCTCCGTTGGTTGTTGTTGTCGCTGCAGTTTTGGTCGCAACTTATCCCTCGGGAGCTCAGCTTCCTCGACGATAGGTTGGTCCGTCACTGTAGGTAGACGGGTCCTCCTACGAGGTTTGGGGGGCGATGCGCCCTCCATCCTACGTGGTTCCGTCTTGGTCCGTTGTGCGGACGGTGTCGATACCCCCAGGCGAGCAAGTACCTTACTCCCTTCAGCGCGGGCAACTTAGCCGGGTGAGACCCCTAGGGGAGGCCCAGCGAAGCGCCCAGCGAGCAGGGAGGGGTACAAGGTCGCAAAGTGTGGTGGTAATCGTCGCGCTTCGTAGCGCGCGCACTGCCTGCCCTTTTCCTACAGGAAAGGGGGGACACAGTGCGGGGTCGCACAAGTGGTCTCGCGGTCGCAGGGGTGTAGGTGTCGGCGAGGCTTGCACGGCGCTCACGTTCCGGACAAGGTGGCCTAGGCTGCTCGACGCTTCACGGAGTTAGTACCTCGACGTTAGGCGGAGTGGCTTCGGCGGACTTCGGCTGGATGGCTTCAATCACACACGATGTCGCAGAACGGGCGCTATCGGCTGTTGCACGAATGGGCAGGCCCGTCCGGGTTAGTACCACGACCTCACAGAAGACCAGCGTAAAGTGGAAGTATGACAAATACTTTCGCGTTTCGTCTGGTGAGTGAGGTAGCCGGAGCCCAATTTTCAAAAGGTTGTCAACGCATCTGTAACCCTCGGGTGTAGCAGATGTCCATGGGCGGCGGTATTCACTTAATATCAGCTGACCCGTCTGCTCGTTTGGCAACTTTTCGCAATTAAAAAATACAATTTTAAAAGTTTTTCTGTTTATGTGTGTTCATTTATTTTCGCGATTGTAAACACACGCTGTATAGGTTTTTTTTTTCATTTCCGTCGTAATTTCAGTATCAAAATTGTATAAAACAGTCACATGTTTAATACTGACTGCTGGTAAACAAATCACAAATCAATCCATCGACTACTAATAGACTTTTGTTCCGTTATTTTGGACACAAGCAATTTTTATAATATATGTCCCCCATGTACACCAAAATGGCCGAACCAATTTTGATGACATTTCCAGTCAATCACATTACTGCAGTGTGATTTTAAGTTCGGTACCCGTGCGTCGAACAACATCCATGTCAGTCTCGTACTGGCCGTCGCAGTGTAAGACCAAACCTCACTACATGGAGGGACAACCTGTGCAAGTATGTGGGAAGTTGATGGGTGCAGGTGTGCTTCGGCGGTCCGTGGGTGAGGCCTATGTATCCAACTGTGGTAGTGCCACGCAACAGTTTTAGCTGTTGCACGAATGGGCAGGTCCGGGTACCACGACCGGCGTGAAGTAGAAGTCTTACTGGGTCTCGTCTGATGATTGAGGTAGCCGGGGCCCACTTTATTAAAAGGCGAAAACCTGCAACCCTACTGATATTGCAAATCTTCATGAGCGTTGGCTTTCACTTAACATCAGGTTTAATAAGGCAGTCTCATGGGGACTTCCGAAAGAAGTGAAAACATAATACAATATCAAAATTAAAATTGTTTAACATTTAATTCTACATGTTTTATAGGCACTCGATAAAAACTCGATACTAGCAGTATTTATATCATATCCATATAACTACAAAAATATTTTTGCGTATTCCTTTTTTTAAAAATAGCTCATGGAAAGCGGAGAGCGGCGACGATGACGCGAGTTTCGCCAAGTTTAGCCAAAAAGTACACATATATACACAATGCCGTCTTAGGCCATATCTGGGCACAATACACACAAATTTGGGCCCTGATGGAAAGTAAAAAAGTGAATGACAAAAAAAAATTGCATTTTATTTGGACACCAGGGGCCCTGGGAACGGGCCCCGTGTGCCCTCACGGTGAAGACGGTACTGTATATACACAGTATCATCATCATCATCATCATCATCATCATTTCAGCCTGTTTGAGTCCACTGCTGAATATAGGCCTCCCTCACAGACTGCCATGAAGTACGATCCTGAGCCACCTGCATCCATCGACTACCCGCACATTTGCACAGGTCGTCACTCCATCCAGTGGGGGGTCGTCCTACACTGCCATGGCCAGTACGAGTATACATATACACAGTATACATACAGCTGATGGGAAGCGTTCGGTGTTACGGTCGCGAGTTTCACGCTCTTTGTTCACGCAAAAAGTGCCCAACGCGCCTAGAGCAGCGTGCGCTTCAAAGAGGCGGCGACTACCTCCGAGAAAGAGGTGCTGCAGGTCCCAGGCGGGCACGCGCACCAGCCCGGAGTCGGTGAGCCGCTGCAGCCCGCGCAGGTCGAGCAGCCGCAGCCGCGTGGCGCCGCGCACCAGCCGCGCCAGAGCCTCGTCGCCCAGCCGGTACTCGCCCACGCGCTCCGCCGTCGCCTCGCCCGCGATCGACAGCTCCTCCAGGCACGGCCACCCCTCCGCCTCCATCTGCTCACGACCGCGCCGTCAGTGTTAAGCCACAGCCCTATTATGTGTTTCACTGCTGGGCAAAGGCATTCTGTACTAGGGTATAGCGCACCGCGCATCCCCACTTCACATAAATCTTAACAATATTTTTTTTTCTCTTGTGAGTGATATTACAAAACATGCAGTTCCTTCATCATTGAGCTAAATGCCAAATATAAAACTAGTCAACAAATAAAGGAGGAACGATACAACTAGAGACTTAGCATGTGGTAATAAAAAACAGTTTAATATAAATATAAAATAAAAATTTCCGGAGTAATTATGCATAAAATAAAAAAATTGGTTTCCTTTTGCCTTTAGATTTGTTAGTATAGAATTATTAATACTATTTTCCGATCCGATAAAAATAACTATAATCTAAAATCTAAATCAATACACTGTATATTTAAATAGTTAACAGTAGTTTAACATCTATTCTGTTTATTTGAGCTTTACTACAAATGCCTTAAATAAGCATTATTTACATTTTTGTATGGTAATATGGATCCAAATTATCTTGTGAAATTACTAAATTATGTTACAATATTAATGGACAACTCATATTGGCATTAAAAATAATATACTATTCAATAGGAACCTGTTGAGAGGTGGTGGCAGAGGCCAGGACCAATTGGGCGTTGGCCGCTCTGAAGATGCGCATTTTGGGGCAACCCTTCTGCAGGGCCTCCAGTGGCACAGCGGCGGGGTGGGTGGTCGCCATAGCACCCGATATGTCCAGCATCTCCAAATTTGGGCAGTGCGCCTGTTGAGAATGTACACTCATTATGCCCTATATGTGTATACGAATACTTTAGAAAAAAACATGTTTCGCTACATTTTTACACAACATTTTCTAGTCCAAAACTAAGCAAAGCTTGTACTATGGGTACTAGGTAGTTGATAAACATATTTTTTTTCGTAAATAAATACTGATTATAGATATACAGCGTGTCTTTACCACCGCCACAATAAATGAACACACGTCTAACGCTACTTGCCAATAATCATAAAAAAATATCAACGTTAATCAAAAACCTAACGTTAAAAAAAATATTTTTCAACAAACTAATTAAGTATTAAAGAAACAAAATTTGTAACATCCTATACAACTCGCGCCACAGCGTCTTATTACAAGCCTCTCCTTCTAACAGTATGTTTTGTCTCTTTTAAATTTATTCAACCCATTCATATGCTTTGTGACCTTTACAAATGAACTTTACGTTACAGTTTTATAGGTAAGGGTGTTCTAAAATTCTTTGTTTTGGAAAATTTAATAACTCTGTAAATATTGATGTTTAAAGAATGTAAATGTTTAATACAATTTTAAAAAGTTATCCCCTATATGTGTGTTCGTTTATTGTCGCGATTGTAAAGACACGCTGTATAGTTTGTTCCAGAAATAAAATGAAATACATACATATATTAAGAATCAGTATTATTTCAAATACATTGGTAACATATAAAAGTCATACAATATACAAACACACAACCTATATATATATCTTTTAACCGCATAACATTCAGGTGGTTAGTTTCATTTTAATAAATCAATTTAGGAACTAGTGTAACCAGCTATATCGTTTAAAGGACTATACTCACAGCAACAGTGGTGAGAATCTGCGGCAACGCCGTAAACTTGTTGTTGGCTAAAGTTAGATGCGTTAGTCGATCGCCGAAATTCTCTGCCACCCGGGCTACCGAAGACGCCGAGAGACAAGTGCTGGATCCTCCTGTTTCGGACTGTTGCAGAAAATGTAACGCTTTATATTTAAAAAAAATTGAAAGTACTGAGTAAGCGTTAGTACTTGAAGAGTGTTAGTACCAAAAAATCAAAAAGTGTAAGTGTTAGTAATGAAAAATCAAAAAAGTAAAAAAATTAAGTATCAGCATGTAAATTATCTCACACAGTGCAAAGGCACTATAGAGGGTTAATTACTTCTTGGGTATGCGGGTTTCGCAAAGCATTGATATATTTTTTCAATCACCAAAAAAGAGCTATTTGGGGGCTTGATAATCTGGACCTCAAAGAATCACCAAGAAGTTGTTCAAAGAAATAAACATATTGTGTTATACTGTTGCTTCTCACTACACACTTGAAAATAATATGTGTATCAATAAAAATAAGAATGAATTTTCAAATCATAGAAATGTGCATGATATAAAAACTATGAACAAACAAATTGATTCTACACACAATGAGACTAGTAAATAAGATAAATCTTTTATAAGACAATGAATATGTTTTTTTTACAACAAAGTCCCAGAAAACATACAAATTTAATCAGTTGCTAAATTCATAATAGTTGTAGAGGAATTTTTTTGGGTTAAAGGTTAGTGTAATATTAGTGATAATTTAAATGATAACACACTCTGGATATTAATTGATTGGGCCAAACTCTTTCAAGTGGAGTTTAATAGATTGTAAGAAATATGTTTTTCTTTGCCAATGGTAATAATAGGGACCCACAGATTTTCTTATGTCGGTTTATCTCAGGTCAGTAGCATTTTTTTACGAACACTGGTTCATAGTATTATTTTGACAATCAATAAATGAGTGTAATACTTCTGGATTGAATAAAGATATTACAATTTGAGCAATTTCCGGCACCAAGCCAGCATGAGGATTGAACTCATGTTGCTTGAGTATACATTTTTACTGGCACTGAGGCGCCATGGCGCAATATTTATCACATCATTCAATATTTATCATAGCCTTAAAAGTCACTACACTATTATAAATTAAAGCTTAACTACAACTTGAAACATGTCAAAGAAAATACTTTAAGTCTATTTTTACCGTGAGTGACAGATCAAGACGTTGTAGTTTTGGCAGACCCTGAACTAGATCATAGAGTTGCTCGGGCGTAATCCTGCTCCATCCCGCCACACTTAGCTCAACCAAACGGGGGCAGTAGTCGGCCACACACGCTAACACCCACGATATATTGCATACTTTCCATTGAGCTGGAAAAAAAATTACAACCATCTAAATATATTTGTGTCCACCACCATGTCATAAAGTGAAAATTATGATATCAATGAAAGACACTGAGCAACAGCAACAATTCGCAATAAGTTTCTTAACATTTCAAATATATGGCGAAGTATACTATGATAATATAATAAGGACATGAATATGTTTTATGAAAAGTTTTCTATAAATTAATCTCAAATTTTGTTTTACATTAAAACTAATTGTTTTTTAAGATGAAGAGAAAGAAAGCCTTTTTTAAAACCTTCCAAAACAATTAGTGTAAATTTATATTTTATTGTGTTAAGGCAAAGTGGACCGCATTTGGAACTGCACAGCTGTTGAAAATTTCTATGGGCAACAGTTTTCACTTACCAACCATTTTGCCATCTTCTCACATATAGAAAAGTAAAGCCCAATATTAGTGTTTTTACGGGTTACTACAATTCTTAAGGTAAATGTTGTAAATTTATTTCCATGTGCAAATAAATTTACAACATTTTCATTCCAGTTTTTTTACTACTCGATTTTTAAATTTATCTCAGCTTTGAATTTAATAGTTATAATTTTGTATTTTAGTTATTGCTTTAAATTTGCATAACTTACCAATATTTAAACTCTGACATTGTGACAAACGATTCTCAAGTAGCCACACCAGTTTATAGTCAGTTTTACATTTCTCATTTGTGTATTGTGCAAGATCTACATTCCTCCATAGTTCTGGCCTACAACTCACACTGTGCCACAACTTGCAAACTTTGCTCAACCTAAAGGAAAAAAAATGTCTAGTAAAAAAAGCTCAAAAAAAATGATAAACAAAATATCAACACACTGCATTTACCTGATAACAGAAGGTACAGTGCCTTGAGATGACACAATATAATCAAAAATTTTAAAGAGAATCTCTTCAGGCATGGCACGAGCCCATGGACTTTGTGGCCCAGTATCTTTAGATTTATTATTATCTCTGCTAACTCTACTTTTGTCAGTCTTTTCACGTTTAGCTGTAAGTGAATAATAAATACTTATTAAAAGATTTTTTTACAAAATTAAGATGATTATTTCATGGGTTATACTTATCTGATGTTGAATACTTTTATTTTAATGTCAAGGATGTGAGTATGATGACATGATTTAAAGAAAAACATTTTTTATAAAAACCTTTATTATTTTATGTTTATAAAATAATAAATCTTTTTACAAGCTTCACATTATAAAAGTAATTTAAAATTGAAATTAATATGATACTGTCTTTGTTTTATTTATGCAAATATTGCTAAAGAAACTAAAAGTGAAGTAAGAAACTTTACTTTTACTATTCAATAAAGTGAATAAAATTTCTATATTTAGAATGGGTGTTTTTTGTCACAACGGGTTATAATTTAGAATACCTTAGTGCAGAGCAATCTCCATTCACTTTCAGAAATATTTATTGTATACATGTATAAAATAAAAGTGACTTACTTTTATTATTGTTAATTTTGCGCGTCTTTGGACGCGGTAGTCGAGGCTTCGGGGCAGCCACGCTCATTGCTGCTGCCGTGTCACCACGCGATGGGTCATATTCCTCACCAGAGCTTTCACTCACTTCAGGTGTACAAGCTCTCTTCTTTTTGGATTTTCTCTGGCCAATATCGGCTACCGAAGTTGGTGTTGGTGTAATCTGAAATTTCAATGTTATTGTTGTCCATAAAATGTTATATAATTGGCAGTTGTTTAAAAACTATAGTCAGGATATATATGCAACAGTTTTTTCATCATCTAGAAACACTGCAAAAAAAATAGTATTTTCATGTAGTCATCAGATAATCCCATTTAGTTACTTCTTGAATTGGGTACAGTTAAAGACGTAGCAATAACAGAGTATTATTTCACTCATCCATAGACTTAAAAAATATTGTGAGTAGCCAAAATAAACACTTCCACTTTTGACGACCCGAATGGCGTAGTAGGTAGTGTACCTGCCTCCTACGCCAGAGGGTGTGGGTTCGATCCCTACTACTGGAAAAATATTGTGTGATGAACATGGTGTTTTTCTAGTGTCTGGGTGTTTCTATATGTATAATATGTATTTATTAACAAAAGAAAAGTATGTTTATGTATGTTTATCAGTTTTCTAGTACCCATAGTACAAGCTTTGCTTAGTTTGGGACTAGAAAATGTTGTGTACAAATGTGTCCAAAATATTTATTATTATTATTATTTTATAATGTAGTGTAAATAAAATGTAGTAATAATTTAAGATACTTTGCCTATTTATAAAATTTATTGTTAACTGTTGATGTTTTACGGGTTGACTGAGGTTGACGTCCATATAATGATTTCTTGCCATATGATTAAAATAAACTGTTACTCTACTGTAAGCCTAAATAAGAGCTCTTGTTCCACAAAAAAGGTTCTAACTTAGTGTCACAAGCTTTTCTCCATTTATGCTTACAACTGTTACTTTAGGTAAAAAGAGATAAAAACAGGTACACCCTGGCAAAGTTATTACTGAACATTCAAGTTCTTTTCTTTCATAGGTCATATATGTTTGTTAGAAAGCATGCAGCAAGTATGGACATGCAGCAATGATAGTTTCTTGTTGTGTTACTGTAATTGAATATTCAAAAATGAACAACTAACACATACGGCTGTTACAGTATATAGGCTAATCCATGGTAACAGCTACACACACTGTCACAACATAATCTATTAGCTATTTACTGTGGTAGGGCCACGCACCAGCCTCGGCTATTGCACAAATGGACAGGCCCATCCGGGTAAGTACCACAACCTCACAGAAGTCCGGCGTAAAGTGGAAGTGTGACAAATACTTTCGCGTTTCGTCTGCTGAGTGAGGTAGCCAGAGCCCAATTTCCAAAAAGGTTGTCAACGCATCTGCAAACCCTCGGGTGTAGCTGATGTCCATGGGCAGCGGTATCCACTTAACATCAGGTTAACTGTCTGCTCGTTTGGCAATGTTTCACATAAAACAAAATATTTGGTAGCAGGCATCTAACACTGTTATGGTCAAGGAACAGGTGTAACAGGATTTACCAAGTATCACTCACTCATGGTTAAGTTTGATCTAAATAATATAAAATAGTTAAAGGAGTTTCATTTCATAAGTTCACATTTACATTTATCCAAAGTAAGATGCAATATTCAATGATATAAAATTTATGAAAGTAAATGAAAGTTTCAAGGTTTTTAGAATATTTGATTTGATGATTGACTCCAAAAGCAATTATGTGAATCATAAAATTAATATTAATTATAAAGTTTGATTATATTTATTCTGATTGATTTGCTTATTTTAATAACAAATAATTGAGTAATGAGAATGACTCTAGATCAATGGTTCAAGTAAAAATAAATGATTTGATTATGTATTTCATATATTACACCATAAAGTTCATAATTAAAATATTTAAAAAGAAAGAATTTGATTAATACTGAGACTTGTTTTTTTTTCATGGCTTCAAATAGTTACTAAGGCTTGATATTACTTGATAGTACCAGTACTAAGGCTTGATAGTACCAGTTTATAAATAACATGCCTTCTACATTTCTTTTATAAAGAAGGGTCTTAAAAAACATAATTCTGTCTACATAACTTGATCTTCATTCGTTTTTAAACACAAATTCTTATTTTCTTATTATTTGTAAAAATGGAAATCTATGGTCACTTTATTATGAGTTTGTCAATTTTGTGTTTTGCCTTAGAAAAAAGTAAAGATTTATGTCACATTCTCTAAGGCTTTCTTATGCTGAACTGAGTCTTTGAAACTCAATTAAAATTTGTGGCTTTCTTCAAATAAGAAACTTAGCTTTACAGCATGATATACTTTTTATATTTTGAGAAAATATATTTTGATTGAACTAAATCCCTGATTATTTTATATCAAGAATTTTGATAATATTCATATAGATAAACTATAACCAATTTCCAACATAATAACATGCCAACAAGTGGATGGAAAAAGATAAAAATCAACTGCTAGTTAGTGTCTGAAGTCTAAACATTGTTTTTATTATAGATCTTATTTTGCTTATAGATCTTATATAGATCTTATAATGCATATTCAAAAATCTGGAAGAGTTTTTCCACAGATAAATAAAATACATTTCTAATTATAATGAAAAAAAAAAAAGAAAACTATACTTGATATATGCCACAATAACGCTAAAATTTTCTCAATAACTGTTATTTATACATGCAATGGTAGTGTTGTACTTATTAAGCTGATAACAATAATATCCATTAACTAAATCTTTGAGAATTTAACATTAGCTGACATTGAGTTTTGTTTGTGATTTAGTAGGTGTTGATATAATCATTAGTATGGAAACCGTCTTACTATATGTATACTATAATTATGTAAGCTGAATAAAGAGTTCCAACACACTTATGACAAGAGCATAGGAACTTGTAATAATGGAATAATTGCTTATGAATTAGTTACTTTCCATATTTTTTGTCTCATCAACTATAGCCCCAGTACAACTATAACCATCATCTAGTAATAATGCAATAAAAAAAATTTATCAATAATCCAAGTCTTATTTCAGTTGCACTAAGAATATCAGGTAATATAACAATATGCCAAATGTAAAATAATTGTAGTGTTATAGTACCTGGAAATTGCTTACAAAAATGTTATCGAGTTTATAAACTACCTACCATTTCATGGATGCTTGTCCTTCTGATTTTAAGTTTTATATTTGTTTTATTATCCACTATCTGGCTCTGATATGTGGAGGTATATTCAAACTTCTTAGACTTCTTCTTGCTACGTGAACTACAAATGCCTATCATTGACCGTGGTTTACCACTACACGGCATTACTATATGAGTCCTTTTTTCCTTGGAAGATTCTTTCGATTTATTTTTTTTTGTTGATAATTGACTAAGTTCATGACTGTAAGGTTTGCCACTTTGTCGTTGTATATTAATAATAGGTAACTTAACACTGCACTTGAGGACTTCATCCTCTGAACTTTCACTTTCATTTGAATTTTCTTCATCATCATCCTCTTCATTTTGACACTCACTGCTACTGACTAAATATAAGTTTTTGCCACCTTTCACTTGTGAGGGCACTATATTGTTTGTCTTTGCATTCCTTTCATGGTATTCACGAAGGTACCTTTTCTTTTTTTTCTTTTGTGAGGACAGACAACCATTAACTGGTGACCGATCAGCATCACGCCTAGAGTGTTGTTTGTGCTTTCTGTGACGGGTACGCGTAGGAGATGGAGGAGCTCCATTGTTGACGTGCAGTTTTTGATTGGCAATGTCATCAATGCTTTGCTCGAAGTCCGTTTCGAGCTTCACGCAAGAGACACCTTCCAGTCCTTCTTGCAACATCTCACCGCTGGAAATGACAGGAGATATTTTAGATAGACGTTCCTCGGGGAAGAGGTCCTTGCGGACAGTGAGCCTCATTGCAGGCTCCACGCTTGCGACCTCGTAGCCGCCGTTCACGGGACTCGAGCGACCCGACATGCCGCCCGCCGCCCTCGCGTACCACTTCTACAAACCGCTCACCTGTCCGCCGCGAGGTAAACAATCAGTTTGACACATCACATTTTCACTTTTGATGCTGAGAGATTTAGTGAACACAAGATAATAATAGGATTACATTTGATTTTCGACAAATGACGTGTAAATCATTATTACGTTTTACTAGTAACTTGTCTTGAGACAATCCAAAGCATCTTTTTTTCTTCACGTATTCGCATTTTAGGTCATCCATGTTCATGTAACGTTGTGATTGCGAAAAACAAAGTACAGAACATTTTCGCGGACACTTGCACTTGTACTTGGCTTTCAACTCAACTAATGCATAATTTTTGAGGCTTAAATGAAATCCTGATTATTATAGGCGACTATGAGTTGATGAAAACTGTTGACCTTGTTAAAAGCTTATTAGGTTTCAAATTTTAGTCAACAGATGCAGACATTGTCACAAAGGTTGTTCTTGGGTTGTACACGGCTTGAGTGTTGTAACATTGATAAAACGTACATTTTTAATGATAATAATTTTATATTTCTACATAAGAGAATATTGAAAAATTATGATAATAATAAACATGTTATAAATAGCAAATAACAAAAGAAACTTCGCATTTACACTTAATAGATGTTGTTGTTTAAGAGATATAATTTGAGCTTAAAGTACCACGTTACAAGCATAGCATTTATGTCACAGAAATGTCAAAATGAAAGTAATTTTTATATTATGTTGTTTCTAGAGGTAAATTCATAAGCGTTTAAACCAATCAAATATATCTATTTACCGTCAGAAATTCATTGATTGGTTTAAATTAATTTAAATAAAAAGGCATTGAATGTACTACATTTTATTGACAACCAATCGTTACCTCGGTCATTTTAACTAGTTAGTTATTTTATCCATAGGTGGCTCTAGTTTACCTTATGCGTAAAATTCAATAGAATTATGAAAATAGAACAAGATGTACTTTTTGTTTTTGTTTCTCTTTCCACCATTCTATAGAAACAAAGAAATCATAGAATATAATAAATAAGGTGATTTCAAGATGTCTTTTCCTGTTAACGGTATATGTTTTCGTTACCAAAATGTTATAGTGTAACAATTTTAATGTTTTCACTGAGGATGTCTTGAATAAACATTAAAAGTGCGCTCTATGACGTGAGTTGTAGGTACTATATGTGATAACGATAACCTACACGGTCTTTTTGTAGCAAGTACATTGACGGGTGAGTCATATTTAAATTTATTTGTTGTATCGATGATCTCATATCGTAAGTACTCTTTGCACCTCATTGTGTTCCTCAGTAATATCATTTTACATCTATTTTATTAAAATTAAGTGACTCCGTTTTATTAGAGAATTGTAAAATACCCCTGCTTTTAATAAGTGAATTATAGTAAATATACACTTTTAGAAACAGAATAATTATTTTATCACCAGATTGCCATTATTTTCATTTCTGACTATATAACAATGTCAGTTATATTTTTACCGTGGTCTAATAAATATTAGTTCCATTACATTACAAACCTTGATTGATTTTACAGTTCCCTGCTTGATGGAATCTTAATCTGGGCAATGTATTTTCTATGATCTGGTGAAGATACAGCTACCATACTTAGAAAAACCTGTGAAATATTTATGTAAAACATTTACCTAATGTATTACTTTATCTCTGATACAAAAATGTAAATCATTGCAAAAATCAAAAATTTATTCAAGTTGAACTATATAGGTATATATCTATTTTACATAAACTGTGTAGTACTAAAATTACTAAAACTGCATAACAAAAAATCAAATGGATTTTTCAAATTGTTTTACCATCTCCATATAATAATTATATGTAGCCAGATACTGGCCTAATACAATTTTATTTCATATGAACTTTCATTATCTTTTAACAAAATTGGTTGGCTTTTTTTGGTGATAGTTATCAATTCACCAAATTTATAAAATATTTAATTGAACCAACAGAAGGTATTGCTATTACATAATAGTAACAGTGCACTTGTAAAGAAGGACGTAACTAACTGTTTTTATCATTAAAGATGAACCCTTTATGCTTAAAGTTATAGAATTATTTCTATGTAGTAAATGGTAATTATAGTAAAATGGTAAAGAAACTATTTTATCACATAATTATGTGACAACTAAGATTTTGAATAATTCTTTTTATTTCTTAAATTCTTGTAAATGTAGTTTTTCTTAAATGTTAATGAAATTCTTATGATTCACTTACAATTACTTCATAATTATAAAATTCATCAATTCTGGGGAAAAAAAATTTATTGAATTGAATATAAGAAAATATTGAATTTATTTTTATTTAAGATTCTTGTCCATATAGCATTTCATTTGTTCTTATCATCGAGATTGTTATATCCTAACCAGTGATATTTGATACTATATATACTAGGTATTATATATCATTGATCCTAACTGAATATTTTAAGACTAGTATTTTAATACTGCTAATATTTGCAAAATTTGTACATTACAATTCATTGTTCTAGATTTAAAGTAATGTTTGAATGAAATTTTTAGTGAATATAAAATCCAAAAAAAATTAAATGCTTTTGAGAGAAAATAAATACTTTGAATATCTTTTAAATTGTTGAATCATAAATATGGTTCAAGATAACTTAATACTTAAAAACATATCCAAGAGTATGAGATGAATTGCCATTGCTGTTTTATTGGTCAATACAATGTTACATTATTCATATATTTTCTTAAGATATAAAGGAAACACGTCAAATATGATAAATATAAAAACGAAAGTTGACGTTAATTTGCGATCTGCAGTCGCGGGTCGAATCCTACAAATATCGCACAATCAGTTTAGTTTTACGTACTTTAATAATATTTCTTAAAAAAATCACAAATACAAAAGGAAATTAACTACGTGTACGGCACGTTAGACGGATACTAATTGCGTCACCTACCCTCAGCACTTTTATCTCTCACAATAATCGATTTACGCTTGCTTTCGACTACCTCATCAATTTACTACTCGTTTTGGCAACATAGTAACTTACAGCCAAACGTTGAAAACGAAATTTCCGCAGCATTCTGTTTGAGATGACCCTTTTCCCAATTTCGCAGTTTCCTCTCCAGTAATAAGTAGTTGTTGATCATTGTCTTTAATTCCTCTCCAACGTTAGAATTAGATACGGCGACACGAACTGTCTGCCATATTCCACAATTCGGTGCCATACATGTTATTTAAAAATCAAAGATAATAAATGAAATATAAATGTCAAATATATCGACTTCTACGCAGTCGTCTTCTCAGTTCGCTTCTATATACCTATGTATCCTGTTAATCGAAAACACGTTACAGCGTATGAAATATGTCAGTTAAGGTAGATTATGCCTGTGATAAGTTCCCTTTTTTGCTTTTATGTCTGGATAATAATTATGTGCAGTTCGTTTAGGTCTCCTTCGTTTTCACATTGCGCTTTTTTTATTTTTAGGAATTCTGAGTTGAGTTGCAATGTTTTATAGTCTTATCATATGCAAGTATTAATTAATAAATAGTATTCGGCCTTGCCGAGGGCACTAAATGATTTGTCTTTTCTATCTTTGCTTTCACTCGCTATTGCTTTACTTGGTCGATAAATATGAAATCCGAAAGTTACCTTTCGCGTTCAAAGAAAAGGTAGAAAAAGCAAGTGTTATCCTTAAATTCTCTGCTTGTAAAAAGGCAACGAATGTAAACTTTTGAATTTTGTCTGTTGAGTGAGGTAACACTTAGTAACACTTTATAGGTTTGTCAGCCCATCAGGTGATACATGTTCATGTGCAGTAGTAATCACTTCACCACTTCTCAGCCACTTGCCTCCTTCATATATTAAATAATAAATATTGACGCTTTTAGATTTCTATAAGCCGATTAGCTTTGCAGTTAAAGTGTCTGAGCGCAAATCCGGAACACGAGGGTTCGATTCCCGCAGCTTTTTACATTTTTTTTAAACCAATTTTAATTTTCAAATTTTTTTTAAATGAAAGAAGATGGCAAGCGAGCTGGCGGTTCCCTGATGTTAAGTGATAACCGCCGCCGATGGACATTTGCTACACCCGTTTCAGATGCGTTGCCAGCTTTTAAAGAAGTGGCTCTCGATTACCTCACTTACCAGACGAAACGCAGAAGCACGCCGGTCCTCTCTGAGGTCGAGGCACTTCCCCGGACGGACCTGCCCATTCGTGGAACAGAGAATATTGTTGTGTGGTCCTACCACAGTAAGAAAACAGCGATTGGTTCACCAGGCATCACAGCGAGAAATCTTTAAAACCGCCGTTTACTCAAAGTTATAGATTTTAGTAGTGGAAGTCAGTAGTGCTAGACTTTTTAGAGTGCAATGTATCAAATATGTATAACAAATTGTTAGAGTTATTTAACATTGTCTAACACATGAAATAGCCTTTGTTTCCGTTTTTTCCCTTTTTCAAACCATAAGTTCTCTTATCTTGGAAATAAGTACAAATTTGTCAAACAATATATTTAGCAAAATCTAAAAAAAACATTGTCAGTTTTTCGTGACAATTTAGAGACATAACATAGGCTACATTTTTTAAAATAAATTATTATTTTCAATTAAAGTTTACCTACATACAGGCTTGCCCATTCATGAATCGAAAGACAATAATTATGCGTTACCTGCGAAAAACTCCAGATCCTACATATTATTATAATATTTTATGTGAATTGTTTATAAGAGATTTTTTGCAGCAATAACTAAAACTTTTTCTTTTTACTTTTGAATCAAACCACGAGTTTTATGTTTAAAAAGTGTTAAGAAAACAGAATTTGAATACGTGTACAAATTTTATACAACACAGTAATAGATGAAAAAAAAAAGTTTCTCGGAACCAAAGAGCGAAAGTTTACTACATTCAAAAGCTGTTTGTATAAATAATGCAAGCAGCTTATTGAAGCTTTATCTATTGGAATGTCACTTATGTAGGGCAAGGTCATTGGATGCACAGGAATTACATTTCATTTGCCTGTGAGAGGCTTTTTTTTGGAATGGTAAAAGTTGCCATACGAGCAGTCGGGTCACCTGATGTTAAGTGAATACCGCCGCCCATGGACATCTGCTACACCCGAGGGTTACAGATACGTTGACAACCTTTTGAAAATTGGGCTCCGGCTACCTCACTCACCAGACGAAACGCGAAAGTATTTGTCATACTTCCACTTACGCTGGTCTTCTGTGAGGTCGTGGTACTAACCCGGACGGGCCTGCCCATTCGTGCAACAGCCGAGGCTGCTGCGTGGCCCTACCACCGTAAACATTAAAGTAACTTGGCTAAATTCATGACGTATGATCTAAAAATGATAAGCGTAAGGATACTGCAAAATTCCGCGAAAAACGTTTTCGATTTGAACTCAGAATTATTTTTAACTTTGAATGTGAACAAAGTGTACAACATTTCATAAAGATGATGATAAATGATCTTATGGCTCAGTTGCTAAGCTATTGGTTCGGGTTACACAGATAATTGTTTTGGAAAGGATAGTTGTATATGTAAAATATCCTTACGTTATTCTGCAGTAACAGTAAAGTATTTACAATAATAATAATAAGAAAAAATTGACTAATGTCCACAAAATGGTTTAGTTTCAAAGAAAAGAACCTAACGTTAACCAAAGTTTTTTTTTATAGATAATAAAATGATACGTCTCCTGCGGTGCGATTATAATCTCTTATTCACAATAAATAACAATTTGTTTCAGAGACGCAATCAAACGGAGAGCTCAGTTCCACGTACGCGCTAGAACAACAAATCGTATACTCGCTAGTGGATATCAGTATCGCGTACCGACCGCACAGCGATCAGGTATCGGGCGCGGTGCGTGGTGGTTGTTATGTATGTACACGGTGTCAGTGTGGTAGTGGCGGTGTGGTGGTGGTGATATCGCGGTGCGTGGTGGCGCGACCAGCGAGTGATGCTCGTCGCGGTGATGCGGAGGGATGGTGGACGCGGCTGCGGAGCGCCGGGTGGCCGCCGCCGATCGCCTCAGTGCCACTGCCAGCTTCACGAAGTAAGTCCATCAACACTAGTAGGGCGACGGGCGCAGACCTTTTTTTAGAAGAGGAATTTACATTTGTTTTTCAGGCTAAGCTGTCGTTCAGTCAGTTTTAATTTATCTTAATTTTTCATTCTGGGTGGGACCTTAGATTTATTCTTACCCACCAAGGCCATTTTTTCTTTTTATTTTACAGTATGTGTGGATATGTGCATACATTCATGTTTCTTTTCCAGGCTAAGTCGTCAATAAGTCAATTTTAACCTGTCTTTAACTTTCGTTCTGTATCTTTAACTGTTATCGCTAATTTAAGTGCAGAGATTAGCACTATAAAAATCTTTAAAAAATGTTATCGCTAAAATATTTATTTCGTTCTTTTCAAGCTTGTTAAATATTGATATCTATGTGTACTAATAAATGAATGTTATACTGCAAAAACTATTGAACTGATCGGAATAATACTTATATCAAAAGACGCAGCGTGCTTTGGAGAAGGTTTAAGTATCTTATCCTTTAAACGAGCAATTCTTGTATATATATATATATATATATATATATATATATATATATATATATATATAATCGGAATCTCGGAAACGGCTCCAGCGATTTTCATGAAATTTAATATTATAGATTTGGGGGCGAAAAATCGATCTAGCTAGGTTTCATTTTTAGAAAATGTCCTTTTATCCCTGTTTTCAGGGAATGAAAAATATAATTCGAATATGACGGTAAATTTCGCCGCAAGAGAAAATGTCAAAATAGCTCGGTCGGTAATCGGGCGGCCCCAAAACAGGCGGCCGTGGTTTTCGCGTCACGATCATTTACACATTTATTTTTTTACTTTTTTTTCGATTCCAGATCATTGCTTTCTTTATTTTTAATTTTTTGTTGGTTTGTTATTTTTTTCCCTTTTTTTTTAAAGTTCTTTCTTTTGTGAAAAACATCAATTCATATTTTCTTATTATTACGTCGGTAAGATCGAAAAATATTATGCATATTTCATTACTCAATAATTTGTATCTAAATGTAATTTCCAAAATACACAAATTACTAAAAAAAAAAAAACAAACTACGGTCTTCCGGGTACTATAAATTATATTAATATCATGCAAATTAGCAGAGTTATTACATTTTTGCAGACGACGTCGCGGGCGAAGTGCTTATGCTACTTTAATAATATTTTGTTGAAAAATATTGCTTTTTGTCACAAAAATTTTAATTAAAATAAACTACCGAATTAGTAGATACACTCCTTTTCCCGCGTTTGCCTTCCCATTATCCATTATGTAGAGAAATGTAACTATATTTTACTCATTAAGAGTTGTATTAAAATTGTTCGAACTACGCCGCGGGTAGTCTCGATTGATCACTGTTCAAAAAGGGATATCATAAATTATCTTGCGTTGCATTGAAATCGAATTCTTGGCAAATTAAAGTCAGCCAATTGTTATTTATTGTACACCAATTCTCGTGTCATATTGTCAACGTTGACCGTTGGCATCTCTGACCCCGATGCTCTGTGATCATTCTATTGAACCCTTCCTCATTGACAGCCCATTCAATAACAAGAGATCCATTATTTAATTTAAGACCATAAATGTCACTTCGAGTATTCGCTATTGTGTAGCTATCTGTACATTTTGCAATATATAATCCGACCATAGATTTTTTTATATATTATTTAATAATTAGCTAAATATATATATATTAGCTAAATATTAAAAATATATAAATATATATATTAAAGCTATAGTCAAAAAAGTAAAAATCATTTTATTAGTTAAATTTTGGAGTAATTGATTTCACTTTCTAATATGTTTATAAGTAGGTCTACTGTTAACCCGGGCCTACCATCAGTTTTTGAATGATTAAGAAGGGCCGTTTTTAAAGGTGTTAAACTTTGAATTGAAATAATGTATTGACTTTTTGTATTGAAATAATTTTATTACATAATTTCAAATAAAAATTTGGCTGTAGAGAAGAAGGATAATTTTATGCCGTTATTGTTGGAATACGATTTAGGGGCTGACGACGCCGCGGCTGGCTCGAACTTAGCGCATTCCTGAATTCCAATTATTTCAAGCATTTGGTGCCGAATCTAGGCAATAGTCCTTGTTTTCCGATTCGTCAAAAGGTAACTTATACATAAACATAAACGAATGACTTCATTAACCCGAGAGAAAATAATCCAAAGGCGTTAAATCGGCATCTTGCGGGCCAATTAATATGACCATTTCAAACATTACCTTTTCACAAGTAAGCCTATTTTTTGACGCGTTGTATGGCACGTGGCACCGCAACCTGTTGGGAAAGTTTTCAGCAAATACGCATTCAATTAAGGCTCCAAATAATTGGTAATCTTGGCTCTATACTCGCCGGCCTCTTTTTAAACACGCTAATGAATCCACGGGCCCATAAAGTGCACCAAACTTTGATTTTTGTGTATATAGAGGTATAGGTAGAATAATATCGTGGATATTTTTCACTCCAAACTGCAAAATTTTACTTACTAAAATGCCTATTGAGCCAAATTGAGCCTGCTCACTTAAAAAAATATTGCAATAAAAGTGTGGGGGCATAAAGTGTAGGATCGCGTCGACCGTGAAATGGAAGTAGCGCACGTCCCCCAAATCAACAACAAGACCGTGAAATACGACGTAACGCACGGTAACAAAAATACTACGTTGCAAAATATCTTGCCGATTGGCCTTACTGGCGCTAGTCATGATAGAAATGCAAACCAAAGAAAGCACAAATGATAATACAGTTGCCCGGTCTGACAGCCGTATGATAGTTTATTCCTGTCGGTATACGGAAGCTATAAAAACACCCCATATTATGATATACAGTGAAAGGGCTAGTGTTTCTTAAAGTATTGCAATGTTAGTGTAAGATATGAAGCCGTGTTGGTACTTTCAATTCTACTGGTTCTCTTTCTTGATACCAATGCTTAAAGATAAGTAACTATTGTATAATATAAACGCTGAACTAATTCCTCCTACGGTGGTAGGGCCCCGCAGCAACACTGCAATATACTAAATACCATCGATACAACCTTGATGGATGGTAGTTCAACGGTGGCAGGGCCACGCAGCAGCCTCGGCTGTTGCACGAATGGGCAGGCCCGTCCGGGTAAGTACCACGACCTCACAGAAGACCAGCGTAAAGTGGAAGTATGACAAATACCTATTTTCATGTTTCGTCTGGTGAGTGATGTAGCCGGAGCCCAATTTACAAAAGGTTGTCAACGCATCTGTAACCCTCGGGTTTGGCAGATGTTCATGGGCGGCGGTATTCACTTAACCTTGAACCGTCTGCTCGTTTGACAACTTTTCGCATAAAAAAATGTTACAAATATAGGTCTATGTTTAAAATATATAGAAAAAAATTTAATGTTCAATCTTAAGTGCAAAGATTAGCACTATAAACAATTTAAAAATTTCTAGGTCTATGTTTATCAAAAAGAACATTTGTGTCAGTGAAGAAACAATGCGTAATCCATTGCAGGATTTTTTATGTGAGCCAAGCGAGTTGGCGCTTCGTCTGATGTTAAAGTGATAACCGCCGCCTTGATTGATTGACTATTGACATTTGCAACACCCGTAGGGTTTTTTTTTTTTTTATGCGAAAAGTTGTCAAACGAGCAGACGGTTCACCTGATGTTAAGTGAATACCGCCGCCCATGGACATCTGCTACACTCGAGGGTTACAGATGCGTTGACAACCTTTTGAAAATTGGGCTCCGGCTACCTCACTCACCAGACGAAACGCGAACGTATTTGTCATACTTCCACTTTACGCCGGTCTTCTGTGAGGTCGTGGTACTTACCCGGACGGGCCTGCCCATTCGTGCAACAGCCGAGGCTGCTGCGTGGCCCTACCACCGTAAAATGCAGATGCGTCACCTTTTAATAAAGTGGGATGCGGCTACCTCACTCACCTAACGAAACGCAGAAGTATAACACTTCTACTTCATATCGGTCTTCTGTGCAGTTGTGGTACTTATCCGGATAAACCTGCCTGCTGCGTGGCCCTACCATAGTTCATGGTTCAGGATGACCATGGCGTGTTCTTCGATATGCTCTTTCTCAGCTCAACGTGCTTATCATTTATCATTAATATCTGGTTTTCAATAGGGGTTTAAATCGTAGATGCTTTTAATAAAATGAGTGCATAATAAAACTTACAATCACCGTTAGAAGAACCAATGTGGAGGCCACTTCATTTATTCGGTTTTGGATTTTTCTACGTAACGATTTCGCGCGGCGTTAACTTGTGCTGCAAAGCTGAGATTTCCATTTTAAATGAGGTTGACGCACAGAACGATTTCGAATATTTCGTATGGCTTCAGTGAATGGTCCAGGATGACAATTGAACGGTAAAATGGCGAGTTCTTCGATATGCTCTTTCCAGAGCTCAACGTGCTAATAATTTTTCATCAATATATGATTTTCAATACGGGCTTAAATCGATGATGCTTTTAACAAATGAGTGCAAAATAATCTTATAATCACATATAATTTTACGAGCAACACATTACATAATTCATCGCAGTCTGCCGCGAATTGCTTTACAACGCTTCACTTTACCCGTTCGGCGTTAAACAAATATGCCTCTCGCACTGTCGGTGTACCCAGATGGGATCTAATGGCTGTTGACTGTACGCAGCTAGCGTGGGGCAAATTGTTTGATTGGACGTAAGCCGAGCCTCGCGCGAGGCGAGTCGATGTCGGCCGCCGCGGCGCCGCGCTATCGGCGCCGTGGGCGACGGTGCGCCCGCGTACGCTCCGAGCGCGTAGTGCCGCTTCCAGGAAAGCCGCGCGCATTTCTCAGAAGCGATCGAGTGTCGCGCGCGTTTTCAGTAATGAATGGCCGCGCAACACGCTTTCGCGGACGACGAACGTGTCGCCACGCCGAATTGTTGTTTACAGGATTCCCCCCTATCTTATCTGTACTCGTTCTTTTTTTTATTTTGTCATAGTGTCGCGCCGCGAATCTAGCCGCCGCGGTCTACGTACGAAATGCACTCCGGTGTGTCAGTGCGATAAGTTTCGGTTGCTTTTCGTGTCGTAACGTTTCTTTCGTGAGATACTTTTATTGTCCACGTTACATTACTTTTTCGACTGTATGAACATATATTATGGTAGGAAGTATTTCTGCTACTCCGACTCCAAACACCCATACTGCGCTTTCACACTAAATTGATGGTTTACTATTTATAAAATAAGTCATTAAATATCTAACGATTTCGCTAATTTTGATTAGTCAATTGGTTCTGTTACTACCCTATAAAACTGGTACCGCGGGTAGTCTGTTCCTATAAGTCAATTCGGTCCATGTTTATTTTGTGATTGTACGCCTCTGCAATAATGTTATACTACATACAGTAGGAGTAATATATTTTTTAAAGGGCTAAAAAATAAAAAGTACTAGTATTATACAGGTTTACCGTTCTTATATGCATTCTTAAATTAAAACAGCAATTAAGATCAGACCACAAACACTATTTGCTCCATTGTTAAGTGGCAAATAAACACTGATAGCAACTACAGCCGTCCATGTTTACTATGCGCTAGGGACGTCTCTAGGTTACTTACAATATACATAGATATTGTAAACGTTTTTGTACGTTGACATAACTAATTTACGTTTATTCTCCTTGTCTTGTCTTCCATCATGGTTTCTTGTGTTTACATGATTTACTCGTTGTTAAAAGATACTATTATTTAGTGCCTATCCAATGATTATATTTAAGTTTATTATATTTATGCGGACACTACACTACGAAAAAATATTCACGGATTTTATCAATAATAATTCTAAACCTAATACCGTGTGACCACGTATTTTGCGAAGTACCTATTCGAAAATTCCGAAATTTAAATTAGAAACGATAAAATCCATAAACATAATTTAATTTATTAACTACTAACTAATATTAAAAGAGTGGCTGTAGATAAAGTAAATTCTACCCTAAAAAATGTTTTTTTTTGTTTCTTCGTGAAAAAATTTAATAGTGTTTTACTACTGACAAGCTTCTTTCGTCCGCAATAACGAACCCAAAAACTATTAACCTACTTCTTTTTGATATTTATAAGTAACACTAAATTACGATAAATGTAATTTTAGTATTTTTTTTAAATAATCAGGCAATATGTTATCAACTGCCATTACCTGTGTTTAAAAAAATTAATCATGCGTTATAAAAAAGATATGATTGAATTTGCGTTGTGATAAAAGGACAATAATTAAGTCAAGAGCATTGCATTCAATAATTATCACGATCAGTTCTTTATTTTATAATAAGCGCCTAAAATGCAGATTTCACGATAAACCCTAGTCGTAGGGCCAAGCAACAGATTCGGCTGTTGGACGAATGGGCAGGTCCGTCCGGGCGAAGTGAAGTATTTTACTTCTGCGTTTCGTCTGGTGAGTGAGGTAGCCGGGGCCTACTTTATTAATAAAAGATGGCAACGCATCTGCAACCCTACGGGTATTACATATGTACGTGGGCGACAGTTATCACTAAACATCAGGTGAACCGCTAGCTCGCTTGCCACCTTCTTACATAAAAATTGCTTTTTCGTCCGTTTATAATACACTAATTTAAAGTACTCCTCTAGTTTCTTTCAAAATGTGGTTGTGTATCATTCAAATAACTGATTACTTCTTCAAACCAAAAATTCAAACTAAGATGTGGTCACAGATGATCTGGAGTTAGTTAAGTTTGGTTTCTGTCTAAGTATAAGTTCAGGATGACGTTTGAAGAAGTTACTGAACCATAGTTTTCCAATACTAATTGGTACTATATGGGTTTAAAGGTTTTATGTAGTATTCATCATTTAAATGGAATCCGGAGCTTAAATGGGTTGGTGCAGTCGCTTGGCAATAGACATTGGTGCTATAAATCAAGGGTACGGGGATAATGTTTTTATAGCCAACAGATAATAATTCGGATCATTGTGATCAATGTGTGTTTATAAAAGGCCTCTACAATACCTTATCATACAGTAGAGATACAGTTCAAAAAGAAATAAGATTAAAAACCAAAAATGTTATACGATATCCAGTAAATTTGCCTCCTTCATTTTTTCTATTTCTTCTGCCATCGAACAGCTTTGTCTGAAGCTCTGTTGAACAGTATAGTCTTATGATAAGAAACTGAAAAATTTAATTATGTAGATGAAGCACATTTCGGCTAGTACACACATCATCACCTGGGGTACAAATATTGAATTTATTTTAGTTATATATAGAATACATACTTTTAGAAACTTCCTACATATTTTGATCATTTAGGTAATCATATAATGTGGAATAATATAATAATAATATAAATTATTGATGAGTTAAACAACCTCAGCTTAAATAACCATACTTCTAAAGTTTTATCCTACTCAGTAATATATTATTTATCGTAATTGCCTTACCAAAGGTCATTAGGTCAATAAGTATCGAACTCCTGCGGTGGGCAGGGCAGGTGGAATGGACAGACTACCCAAAACGCCTTCTGGAGGCCCGCAGGAATCTCTATTCCTTAGCTCAGATGATTGAACGGCGTCGAACAGGATACAGTGTAGGATATTAAAAAGTAAAGTAAAAGTCTATTTATGTCCCACTGCGGAGTAAAGGCCTCTGTACAGATGGTATTAGGGCATACTCTATCACGCGACCCCACCGTCGTTGGCGGACTTCCCATATCTTCGAATTCAAATAATAAACGAAAAACTTGGATTGCGACAGGCCTTCCCAAGAGACGCATGTTAATTTGATGAGTCTTTGTGTTTACCACTTGTTTCTATGGCAAAGTTCTTGGTTTTTGTTGCGATTTCTCAGGAATATGTATATCATAATTCATTCATCGAATTCATAGTTCTTTTAACGAATATAAACTTGCAGAACAGTGCTACCGTAATTATCCATATTGCAACTTTGTAGATAATAACGGGTAGGATTCACTGATTGATGAGCTTTGTTTTAAGGTTTTGGGGTTACCGTGATAAAATTAGTTAACGGAGTTTCCCAAAACCTGCACAGCCTAACTGGATCTTTTTTGGCCTCGATTTTCTCTAATTGAAGCGTATGCTTTAGGTCAACATACTTTTGAACAATCTCAAGATCTATTTATGTACATGTGTAATGTTTTCTTGGATTTATGAGAACATCAAACATTGGTCATAAACTTAATTTAATATTTATCGCTCTAAAATTGTTTATAGATAATGCGTTATGTGCTCATTACTATAAAAAATCCACACTGTTTTTATTAGTACATAATGAAAGGCATTAAATTACCCACCTAAGTATAATAACAAATAAAGTTTTCTGTACGTTTCCAACATGGCCTGAGAAAGAGAAGTATTGAATTGATCAGAGGATGTAACGGTCTGAATACAGACCGGTGCTTAGGATCTTAGAATCAACGGACGTGCACAAATAGATGTGATCCTTAGAAGTCTCAGACAAGGCCGCGGGTCATACTCGTTTCGAATAGTTAATTTGAAATGTTGTTGAATAGATTTATGCGATAAACGCCTCATATTCGCAGATCATTGCGTTTCAATTTGAAAACTATGATTTTTTTAATGAGTAATAAGTACTAGACTAAAAATTTATGAAAATAAAACAAAATTAATGTGTTTTGAAAGTAGGTGAGAGTAGTTAGTATGAAATAAGAATAGAAGGTAACTGGGCGAGTTTGCTTTTTTTCTCAGCCTTTTCAGCAAGTCTGAGGATATAGGTTATAGCGTCACGAGTAAGTAATCGGGCCTCTACAGTCAGAGAAAGCCCAATTACCTGCATTTCGATCAATTCACATTTGCTGTGTGGCCTATAATAATGCATGGATGGTGTAAGTGGGTGTGTAGTAGAAAAAGCGTGATGCTTTAGAAATGGGGTGAAATAAAGTTTTTGTAACTGAAAGTGGCTGCTTAGCTGTGAAATTATAATGAATTGTATTATATAGTTTATATTTAAATGAAACTATCGGCCAAACATTAGAACAAATAATTTGTAACTAATATTCGCAAAACAATAAAATGGTTTTAACTCTTTTTGGTAACGACCACTCCTAACCCCACTCTATAAAAATATTGAATCTCTAGCCTATTGGATTCGTTCTTGCTTCGCGTACATAAATAAAGTTTACTTTACGATTTCATATTGCCTATGGCTAGTGTATCTTTTCGTGTCGCAGTCTTTAGATTCATAGCCGAGAACTGTCTTAATACTGTAATGTTTTAGTACTGTCTTATACAACATAAGAGCTATTCGGAAAGAAAATAAATTTCATGTCATATTTGTGTTTTCTGTGATTAGCACATTCTAAAATACACATTCTAAAGCTTTATCAGATAATTATGGATGACGATGTTAATTATACATTTTAATAAATGGCATATCAGGTCGCACAAGCCAGTTGACGGAATACTTACCATCAGATGGCCCGCCTGATAAAGAAGGCAAACGAGAATCAAGATTCGAGGTCGTTGGTTTGAATTTCTTTGACTCTTACGAATGAGCTTCCTGTTTTTCTTACAATAAATAATCATCGCTCGCCATTCGTGAAGGTTAATTTCTCCTGTAACCTCATTTTTTCCATACCTTTAATGAGTATCTGATTATACCCTTTATATTTAAACAAAAAAGTAACAACTGAGAATTACTAATTGAGATTATAGTTTGGAATTTCAATTTAATTTGTAAACAAAACAGGTTGTTGTATTTTTGATTGCATTTGAAAAGAATTAAAGTGGATTTTTGTATGACGTCATCATTAAACAATGCTTGTTTCTCGTTCATTTTTCCTCTCCAAGGATCAGCACTTTATCTGCGTCTATGTGTTGAAGTCATGTAATAAGGTATTTCGAACTGTTACTATGAAATGTTTCAGACTGGTGTATTTAGAAGCTTCTTCGTTCGAACCACACGAGAGTCGGGACCCAACCAAATGTCGATATATTACTCCTCTAAATTAGATACTTTACTTCAGATTGATTAATGTCTCTTAGGGCTGCATCCACGTACAAGAAATATAAGCCTTACAGACTTAACTAATCACTTGACGGCTAATTATTTTTTTAATTTATTGCTGTTTAAACACTAACTGTAGTCTCAGCGCTGTCGTAGGTTTCCGCAGAATTTATCGGAATGGTAAATGTCATGTGAGCGTTGTTTACGCGCCAAAATAAAATAGAATGCTTTTGCATGGACGTCGTCGTGCATCTAACTGCTGTAGCACGACTCTCGGGCCGGTCCGTTTGTATCCTCGGCCCGCTAAATTCGTCGGTGACGGTGCCGCGCGAGGGGCACGCGGTGGGGTGGGGTGGGGCGGAGGGGGCTATTTTCGTCTGGCGGCCACGTTTGGAAAATGCGCGGTGACGTCACGGTCCTCCGCGGCGATGGCATCATCGGCCGGCCGCGACGCACACCGGCCGACCTGCCAAAATATCGCCGCGGCGAGCTCCCCGCGATCGGATTTAATTTCGGTGAACGCGCGAAAACGCGCACTACGCTACACACGACCGTCGCGTGCGGATATGTCGCTCGGATTTTATTTTTTTAGCTTTATTCGGTATTATATATATATTTAATTAATATATTTTATTTTATGCGAATACTGACTACACTACACATGGCGGTCGCGCTCGTTACGTTGACGGCGCTTTATAAGTTAAGCTCCGGTGAAAGCTCAAATGGCCCGGAAGCTGATCGCAATAACAGTATTTATCATTTTCCGTTTGTTTGTTCGTTGTAATTATTTCGATGCAACTTGTAAGACACTAACTGCCAAATCATTCTATCTTACGTTAGTACTGTGTCCTCAGTATGTTAAATAAGAATGTAACAATTGATGAGTATTAGTCACTCCTGTTTTAAATAAATGTTATGTAAACCGTCCCGTGGTCACTGAATCAATTATTAATTATGATGTGTGTTAAGATACACAGATGTAAAAAGTTACTCAAACTAGATTATATTATATCAAAATGTAACCAATCATACTAAAGAGAATACGTATCGTTTGTATCAATATATGTACAATATTAGGTATCATTTTTCGTATTGTTAAGTTTAGTTTACATATATGTTAAGTTTAGTTTATAGATCAATACTTAATATTTTTTAATTATTTAATGTATTATCTACATGAAACAACGCGACACTCTTATTCATAATTTTTATGAGTTAATTGCATACCAAAAAGGTATACGAAAACAAATTCTAAATATGGTGTTTTTAGAAGGAAACAACACATTATCATTCGTGAAGGAAGGAAAGTCCCATTAGAGAATCAGACTCTATGAGTGGGAAATATTACATAACAAAATTTCTATGCCACCACAAATTCATGTATTAAAGTGTATAAACAATATTCATATAGAAAAAACACGTCCCACTGATGGACTTTTCGCTCTCCTACAAAGAGAATGTAATAATAAAAATGCAGTCGCAATCCATCCTTCTTTTGTAATACCTATGTTTTCCAGAATTGCAGGATTTCGTATTGATTGCTTTGACTTTATGCAAACAATTCGTTCTTAAAGTTATTGTGCATAATTTAAGGTGCATTTGACTTAACAGCGCGTAGGCGTCGAAGCATGATATAATGTATATTTGCGCATTAAACATAACATTACAATATTTACGACATACAATTTTTAACCTCTAAAATACCAATATGGGTTATTAATACCTTTTGCAAAATACCTTTCATAGTAACATAAAAAAATTACAAAAAAAAGCACCGACTTCGAAAAACTCTATTAGCACTAAAAAGTTTAAAATAATGCTAAATTTAATATAATCAAATCTTGAAATTCTAACCTATATAACCTAAGCTACCCAACACCTATCATAATTTAACAATATATGGAGTTCTTTCCTTTTTTCCTTCGTCCTCATTTATTGAAGTCGGTTGAACATTACGCGACTTGTATTTTACGTACATACTAGCAGACCTGGCAGACGTTGTCCTGTACACACTTCTTAAATCGGACAACGAATTATAAATAAAATAAATAGTAAAACAAAAACATTTTGTAGTAGACGTAATTGTGAATTTAAACAATTTTGGAACGATCCAATTGAACACAAATAAAAAATTTCATCAAAATTGGCTCCAGCCGTGTAGTAGGAAGGCAGCTATGAACACACGCACAGAAGAATTATGTGTATAAATATTATGGAATCAGTGCGACCCTCCTATATAGCGTTAAATATTATATATAATTATATTTCTTATAAGCGATGTTGGCAAACAAGCAGGTATGGTTCACCTGATGTTACGTGGTCCCCACCGCCAAATAATGTCTTCAACATCTAAGCGGTTGCAGATGCGTTGCCAACTATTAAAACATGTGAGTCCAGCTAAGCTCTCACAGCAGTATTTATTACACATCCACTTCATGGCGGTCTTCTGGAACGACTGGCCTGCCCATTCGTACAAAAGCTGTGGCTTGACCCTAACTGTTTATGTTTTCCGATGAAACCTTTACGAGAACCGAATAAGTGTTATCATTATTTGTAATCACGTGCAGTAAAATTTTCTCGGCAGTAAGTATTAAGAATGATCTTTACAATTGCCGATCGTTATCATTGGTAAGCTAAACGTATGGTTAAATAACCAGTTTGACACTTCCTTTTAAATTATCTAATAGGCATAACCAGTTAAATAATTTCATTCACGCATTTTGACATCTGGTCAACACTTTAAAAAATTTGCTAGCTAAATTTTGGTCACTATTTCAATTTATTTTGGATACAATAAAAATATGAGATAATAATATTCAATATATGTTATTTATAATATTTATTCAAGATTAGTAAAGAACTGCAAGGACCTAATCCATACTAATATTATAAAAGCGATAGTAACTTTGTCTGTATGTCTCGCTTTCACTCCAAAACTACTGAACCGATTTAAATGAAATTTGGTACACAGATAGTCTAGAACCTGAGAAAGAACATAGGCTATTTTTTAATTGGAAAAAAGTGTTGTAAAGGGTTGAAAGATATTTATTTAAGGGCTTCAACGCGAGCGAAACCGCGGGTGAAAAGCTAGTTGTTTATAAAACCTTAATAATAAGTTGAAGGCTTTTGGGGCTACCTACCAGTATACAGACATTGAAAATTTATTTCTTTAATATGTCTTAGAGATTGACATATTTAAAAAGTTCATTTTTAATTATGTTTTCTGCTACTTTGATTGAAGATTATTTCATATAAAATTAATAATATTCTAGATTAACTATAACTAACTGTGGATTCACACACACGACGCTGCGTCGGACTGAACTGCTACAGTATTTATGCTGCTGAGTGTGGACGGTTTCAAATTTGCTGGCACGCTCTTGAATCATGTTACGTTCCATGTCATCAATGTCATGTGGATATATGACTATGGCTATAGTCGTATATCCACATGACATTGACTGTCTGATGGCCATGCACAAGGGGCCGAATTGCTAAAATATTCACAATACTCGACCTCGAGAGTTACTCTGTAAAATATTCAATTTTACAGAGTAACTCTCGTTTCGATAATAATGCAACCATGTCATCTGCAGAGGAAATCGAGGAAATAAGGTTTCTTTTAACTGGTGTCCATGGATTCGGTCTGTGTTTTAAAAAAGAGTAAACGAAGAAAAAACTCAAGCGACAGTAGCAGATTGAAGTTTTCAGGAACGGATATACGTTGAAATATTAGGCCGCATACTTAGGTCTCCGAATGTGTTTTTGTTTAGTCGTGGCGGTGAGAAAAAGGCGAAACCCAGAGGAATCCACTCCTTTAGTTTGGCCAGAGAGGGCCGTTTCAAGGGGGCTCATTGAGCCCAGTCTGGATGCGTCAGGTTGCGGGCGGTAGTGCTAACATTCTCCTCCTCTGCAGTCGTGGGGAAAGAAAGTTGCATTGGGTCATTTTCGTTACTCGACTAGGCGGGGTTGGGTTACACTCTGATGCAGCAATTGTAGGATCGTGGGGTTGACGATTGTCGGTATTGCGATGCGGAGCATTTAGACCGTTCGTTTTATATTTTTTAAAAATTTCTTTTCTGTCCACACTTCAATCAATCTTTTACAACTTCAATATAATATTCTTAATTGTTTGTTTGTTTTTTTTTATTGATAATAAAATAAAACAATCAGAAAAGACGTGATGGTCTCACTTTCGCGGTACTTTCTTCGGTCGCGGCTCCCAAGACTGGTTCCACTGGGAAGATGGTCGCCAACAACCATAATCCTATATATTATTATTCATGTTTAAATCGTCCCGAGCGTTTTCAAAGCGAAGGAATGATTTTCGCACACACTCAAGCCATGGACAAATTTTCAATTACTATCCTCCACACGCTACTTTTTGGTATCCCTGGATAACATTTCTCACACAATCCATCGAATTTCGCCAATTTCGCCAATTTCGCTGATTGCAAGTCGCAAACGTTCGACTTTTTTCCGCCGTCGAAGGCCGCCCAGATCGTGGGCTTCTCTCAAAAGATGTGCGAACATTTTGGACTGCTTGTACCACTAAACTAACATGGATGCATCAGACGAAACACAAATGTTTAGTCCCTTGCACCCACTCCTAAATGCACTCTCCACCATTTCGACGTTCTCCGTGCACCTCTTGACTGGTTTAAATCAAAATTTTATACAAATTCGTTACTCATTCCGTCATTCATTAACAAAGTGCTAGGGTACGTGAACACACTTTATAAACAAACGCACACTTCACGTGAAGTAAGACTTCCTAACGAAAACTGTGGTATCCAGGGGGTTCGTTAAACTTTATAGTTGATACTCGTACCCAACAGAGCGCGCTACATTTAACAGCCGCGAAGATATGTAGTAAGGTCCTTTGGATAGAAGGATATTTTTGGGATGTACCTCGTATATGTACCGTACACTTACTGCAGTCTAGCGTTATAACAATATCATAGTGTGTGGATTCCTCGGTTGATGATAAATACACTAATAAACGAGATATTGGCTCATAGCAATAATGTCACAGTGTCAGTTTGTGCAAATACAAAAGCAAATGTCTGGTAATGACCTCGTTTTTTATTAAAGTGATAGTAAAGACGCACGCATCAGATGTTAAGTGAGCGTTGCCGACTTGGTCTTTCGGATTTCTGTATAGCTGTGGAACTTCCCTCATCGAGCTGTCTTATCTCGAGAGGTTGCTGTTGCTTGGTCTACCGCAGTACATAATAAAAACGACCATCCTTTGGAGATATAAAAACGAACATCTTTCGAAAGAACGCGATTGCATCGCGTTCTTATGTAATGATGACAAAAAACAATATTTTTGACACATCAAATATTTAAAATTATTTAATGTCAAAAAATAAGAAGATACCTTGTATTTATTCATTTCTTTCTTGTTGGCTAACTAACGTGAACATAAGTTAACGAAAGTTCATTACTTTTTAAATCAAATGCACATCTTTCACCGATCGACTGAGTAAATAGGTATGACTTAATTGTTCAGTAACAGTCTTGTGGCTGAGATGTCGGATTCGCGACCTTAGGATCCCGTGATCTAATCTTATCGGTTCCTAATCCTAAGAGGTGTTCGTTTTTCGAACTTATTATGCCTAGCAGTCGAAAGTGGAATAACCGACTAGTAATTTCCATCTTTTTTTTAAATACTCAACCACTCAGTATTAAAGGCGATTTTATTGGAAAAAATGTTACAGTTCAGTTTGATTAGCATAGGAAGTTTACCATCGTCATATTATTTCTGATTATAACTTTTAAAGCTTGCTTTGCTACTTACGTGTTAAAGTAAGATCTTCAAGAATTATATACTTATTCCACTGAGCTTGCCGACGTTTTGAACGATGAATTTTTACCGATACAAAAAATGATATAGCTATATAAGGTATTCTGTTTAGGCGTCCATATATTTCTTATTTAATTGAAATGGTGGTCTGGATGGCTTGTCGGTGCTTTGCAGATCTCTTTCGATACCATTGTGTTTGTTAGCATTTGTTTACTTAACGTGTAAGTGTACTGTGTTCACGAACACAACCGTAAGGTATACCTGTTATCAGCGCTAAGGCAACATTGCCCCCCGTACCATGCTCGCGAGCAGTGCTCCGTAGTCCATACGCCGTCGACGGTTATGATCTAGCGCGCGACGCGACTACGTCCGCCGGCTCGCGTCACCGATCCCGTGGTATCGGGGCTAGGGTCGGGCGCGCGCTATCGTTCGCCAGTCATCAGTGCTGTGCGATCAGCTCCGCCGCGAGGTACAGTCGCGTCGAGACGTGTACCATCCGAAAAGCGAGCACGGACCGTTTAGTGACGTTGCGTGAAACTTATTTATTGTTGTGCTGTTATTGGGAAAATGCGGTTGGTTTTGATACAGAGGTGAATTAAGGCTCCGAATCCTCGCGTCCGCTGGCACGACGATCCTTGTATTTGAAACACTCTCGCGCTGCGCGGGATAGATCGACTCTAATCTTTGCCTTTATCATGGTTATAGGTTTGGAATTTTTGATCAATACGTACATTGATATTTAAGGTGACGACCATTGCTTAAGCAGTTACTTAACATTTGCATTCCACCAAGGTCTCAGTTATAACCGATCGTGATCGTAGACTAAATACAATGTACGTGTTTATTCTTAGATGACATTATTGGTTTTTGCACAAAAACCTCAAGTCGTGAACTCGAACATATTTCGTAACGATTTGTGCACAAATTGTAAATTTTTGAAGTATAATATCATAACTACATATTTATCCCTAATCGTGTGCTGTATTCAATTTGAATGCTATCGCTCTCATTATATAACGGTTACCTACACGCTTATGACTGATTAGGTGCTTTGCCAATATTGACGCCCAACTTGATTTGTTTATAATACATTTATCTAATAATTAAGCCACAACACTTATGTGGACAGGAGAAGATTCAATTTCCCATAAAAACTTAATTTCCCATCACATGTTGCCGTTATATCGATCTTTTTCTATTACGTATTTATGGCGCACAAGGAGGTGAGGTTTTCGATTTGATATTAATTTAATGCGACGTTTAATTGGTTGTCCGAGCTTCGTGATACATTACACGGCATACAATAAATATGTAGTAATCGCATACCATACCGTACGCACTCGGCAATTCGGAGTTGAATGACCAATTGCTAGTTTCACTAAAACAATTATCGCTAGAAGGCTGATGAAAGTAGGTACAACTATTTCGCGAAGCTAAAGCGAACTTTTAATTAAACGTTAATATTCTTCCGACTCGGAGTTTTGGGGCTTTCAGTGAATACGCAAAAATTTATAAGAATATGATATGACGTTTAAAACGTTTTAATTAACAAAAAAAAAACACTGACTTGAAATGTCTCACCAACTATACATTTTCTATTTCATTTTTTGGAGTGCTCTGCTGTATCTCTGGAGTTCAAGGCTCAATATGTATGAAATTAATATGGAACATACCTGAGATACATCCAAAAAAAAAGCAAAAAATAATTTTAATAATCGGTTAATAAATTACGGAGTTCTGAAGTAACAAACATACAAGCGAATTTAGAACCTACTCCTATTTTGAAGTCGGTTCAAAATAGTTTAACCTAATTTTTTATCGTTTCACATTTCTTAAGTCAATCGTTTTACTTCATAGCGAGGCCAAATTCAATTTTTTATCATATTTTCCCTTTCTATTATCACTTTGAACGTGTTCCATGTGCACCTCCATTTAGCACATTTGAATTGGTATATGTGTACAAATGGCAGTTTACTGTGTGCGCTCTAAGCGCCTCGAAGCGATTTGCTTCGAGATATCCTAAACTTAACAGTTTGCTCTTGCCAAACATGTGGCGTTTTAGTACTTAGTGAGTGAACACTTGCTGGAACTGTCGAGTAACGGTGAAACGTTTTTCGATCGAGCACCGTTTAACAACCAACTTAGCTATAAGGAATTACGAAATACATATTTAAGTGAAATCCCGCTGGCTAAGAAACCGGGCAGGATGTGTGTGGCATTGGAGAAGGATCGCAATTAGTATATTTAGTAACTTTATGGTTAGTACAAGCTGATGACGATGGGGATGGTTTTTAGTTATAAGTAACGTGCATAAAATTAAATGACTTATTTAATATCGGCCTTAAAAACGAAAATTTTTACTGAAATGCCCACGAATAATCAATACACGAATGAACTTTTTTGTAAAGCCTTGATGCTGATTATCTTTTGCATTTATCGTAGTCTATCTGACTAATGAGTTTTTGTTCACATTTGTACATAGTAGATTGCCTCATACAACGGTATATGAGACACGTTCTTGTTCCTTCAATAGGCGTTTTGCATTTTTTGCTATTTCTATCGGTATTTCCGGGTAGACTAGTCAATAATATAACCCTTTACAACCGGACAGAAAAAGTTTAGATTTTTTGTAATTTGTGACATAGGACGTATGTATAGAGGAATAAGCTACCTAGGAAAAATGCTAAAAAAAATCGGAAAAGCCAGGTTTTCCTGAAAATCGCCTGCACGATCGTGCGCTTCAGGATTACTTTGACATATGCACATTCGTGCATCTCTATGGATTTGTGTGTATATTGAGGTAATTAAACAACATTTAAGGATTAAATCATATATTTTTAGAAAAAATAAGTATTCCATAATCGGTACTAATTATTAATAATGAGTATCAGAAATAGGAACATTTTGTCACAAAACATTAACTTAAACTTTTTGAGTAGTAATTAAATCACAGTAGTATTTAAACTTTGAAGTAATCATTAAATTTTAACAAAAATAGTAATTCTTTATATCTAATAACATTTTTTGAACATTTAAAAAAGTAAAATTAAAAAACAATCAGTTAGTATGAAAATCTTTGAAGCAATTTTGTCCACGAATTACACAAAGATAAACGTTACATTTCAAGCAACGAATTTTCGTGCGGCTTTTACATGTTTCTAATTGGCAAAATCTAGGCGATTTTAGATCATCGAATACGGGCAAATGTTCGTACCCATCATAACTTAGTGTTGCCGACGGCTTCAAAGCTTTTTTAAATTTCCTCGGCATTAAGTTTTCCACTTCTTCCAAGCCTTCTGTGCGACGTTTTTCAGGGGAACTCAGTAAGATTTCAGATAACTCAAGACGAAAATCTAATAAATCTAGTGTTTTATTCCGTCTGTAATTATTGGAAGTGCAATCGATTTTGTAAGCACGCCATGAGTTGACTAAAGCTAAATCATAAAAGTGAATCAACACTTTTAGTGTCCATTTCCGAGTTTTTATGAATGTTCGATAGTATTCAACCTGTTGGTCGAGAACATCCACTCCTCCCATGTATTTATTGTAATTTTGGATTATGTTTGGTGCAGTCACGTCAACATATGTGCGAGTTTTCTTATCCCATCTTTTAACCATATCTGTATAGTTTGATCCAGTGCAGTTAGAAGCTATCAAGACAGACTTATTGTCTTTCCACTTTACCAAAACTGTAGGGTCCCTCACCATCTGCTGGCTCTCACCTCGATACATTTGATTGTCTTTCTTGAATTTTAAACTAGTCTTATCTGGTATTCTATTCACCATGATAGTTCCAGTGCTGTGTAGGTTCTGCTTTTGTAATTCCTCTATTAATGGAATGGTGGTAAAATGTCTGTCGTGATATAAACAACTTCCTTCGGGAACGCTTCTTGATAAGTGCAAAACTACGGAGGGTCCAAGACCAAGATTAGTGTTCCCAAACATTGTCTTAGCTCCTTGATAAATGTCAAAGTTTAACATAAGCCCATCACTTGTTGTCAAGACATAGTTTTTTGAGACCAACTGGTCGTGGTTTATTTTTAACAACTTGTCTCAATGGGCATCGACCAGTGAATGGGATCATCTGCTCATCAATAGAGTAGTATCCTGGAATCCTTTCTTGCTTGTAACAACCATTTCGAACTTGATTTATCATAGGTTGGACTTTCCACAACGGATTTGTCGCCTGTCCAGGTAGTGCAGTATCAGTAGTTACAATATGCAGTGCATTTCGCAATTGTAAGAATCGATCGCGGCTCATTCTTCTCGTTATTTTATCCAGGGAAATGCCACTACGCCAGTACATAGGCAGCCTTGGGAATGGAATACATCCCATTAAAATATGAATACCAAAAAGTTTCTGTATCTCGGACTTTGTGGTTTTTAATTCATTCCCAGTCTTTCTCAAATAATATAAATTTGTGCAAGTACTGACCATTTCATAAAACTGGTCATCAAAGTAATCTTGTACGTAATCGATTGGTTGTCTTACCGATTTAACAGCTCGTGCAGGGTACATATGCTGCTTATCTTCAAACGAAGTAACTCTCCAGCGGCGAGGGCGGGAACCCGAGCGACTCAGACGTTCAGTGGTTGGTGCTACAACAGTAGGTGCTGGTATGGACTGATCTGGTACTGGACTGTCTTCCACCTGGTCATATCTTTGATTTTCAGCAAGTTCTTCGGGCAAATCATCGTCACCTAGATTGTCGATGACAGCAGAGCCAAAAAATGGTTCCTCGTCGCCGGAGTCATTAAAAATCTCGATATCGGAATCATTACCGTCGCCCAACACTTGTATGATCTCATCGTCATGTAAACGACCTAAAAAAATTAAGAAAACACATAAATTACATCGTACAATAAAATAAAATAACACTGTAATTATATTAAAAAAGTATAAGGAACACCTAAAACACACGAACGTGCATCTTTTGATTTGATGCCGAATAAATCAATCAATAATTAACTCAAATACTAAAAATACGTTTTAATATTATGAATTGGTTTATTACTAATTGAACTAAAAATTTTAATAATAATATTCCATTGAAAAACATGCGAAAATAATTACGTACTTGAAGCGCCGCGTCCGCCAAAATACGCCGCCATTTCCCACGGGGTACTGTGCCGCACTGACAAGCCACAACTTGTATTATTATTTTTTCTACGAAGCACTATATCATGCACGAGCGAGCGATGTCGGTTGCGTTCCGTAAAATAGGTTATGGGAAGCGCTAGAATTTTTCTAAGTTAAATGCACGCGTAACTATGAGCCGGTTGTAAAGGGATAAATGAATACTAAGGACTAGAACGTCAACGTTACCATGCATTTGAACTTGGGCCTTTAAAAATTAACAATATATTAACTGTGATGTTAAATGCAATCAAATTATGTTGTTTTATAGCTTACAATATATTAATAATCATACTTCTGTAGTATAAAAATAATTTTATCTATTATTGCCAGCTACACACACAGTTATTGTAAATATAATACTTGTAAAGAAGGGAAAAAACACATTTATATACAATATGTAAATTTCGATTTGGTTATTCGTGTCGAGTTAGAATTTTACTGATATAGGTATTAAAATTGATGACCCGTTGACTAGTCTCACAAAACTAAAGTGACACTGATATAAATGTACAGTTAAGGCCCATTTACACGGTGCAAGTTTCTTGCCTGTTATATACAATTAAATTGAAGCAATAAATGAGTTGCATGGTCTAAACAACAAATGGTCTAAACAATTATTGCGCGCAATTTATTGCATTCAATCATTGCTCTTGTATGTACAAGAAAATGGCATCGTGTAAATGGGCCTTTAAAGTTATGTTAAATGATGGCAGACAAAGGGACGAAAGTGGTGACAGTTACGCAACATCACATCACATTTTTAACCTTTTTTTAACTTTTTAACAAAAGCAGGAGGTTCTCAATTGGACTGAATTTTTTTGTTTGTTGCCTCAGAACTTTCGACTGAGTGAACCGATATTGATGATTCTTTTTTTATTTGAAAGCTGGTGCTTCCCGTGTGGTTCCATATTCATTGTTATTGGATCTTGGGCTCCGGGGATACTTAGGGAACTTCTAAAAATCAATTATAAAATGAATACGGAGCAAGATATTTGAAGTCGGGTTTCTTTTTCGTTAATAAAAATAGACTTGTCATTGTATCGTTATAAATATTCACTACAATATCTTGTATAGCAGCACAGACAGGATGTCTCGACCCGTTATTTGATGTGTACGCAATCGATACAACAACGAATGACCTCCGGCCAAACGTGCATGAGCAATTGACTTGCCTCTCCAGAGTGTCCGCTAGCGACACTTCAACGTTTTGTCACCGGCCGTGTGACATATCCGCTTACAAGTCCAGCAGCCGTTAAACCGGTTTCTAGTAGTCTATTTTTGCTAATATTCTTGCAGAAATTTTGCCATGCAACCACCTGAAATGCCACCAGGTTTTTTGTGTCTAGTATACATTAGCTATTTCCTGAATTGTGCCTGCTGGATAAGATGTGACCCGTAGATTCGGTGAATTCCCATACGCTGTCCTCGAAGTCGTCCCGATTGTTAATATGACAGGTTGGCGATTTCGTAGTCGCGGCACGAATCTCCACAAGTATTTATCTATGGTCATGCATGGAACATTCCGTCGGTGGAGCGTCGTCATCGAATGTTTGGTGGCACCGCCCACGGCCGGTCGGCGGCCACCGACACCGCGCCGCATCCGTCCCGCTGTGATTGATAAATCAATTTGATACATTGCCGTGGGAAATGTGGGCCACATCGCTCCTTTCGCTTTGACCCCTTGAAACGCGTCCATTTTTTGAAGTTACACATCTTTTGGCGCGTATGAAAAATAATTTAAATTTTTACGATGCGCGCGCACACCGATCACAAATAGCGAAATGATGTAATTGGTTGGAAAGCGAGTAAGCGACCAGCTTTATGGTATTTTTATGGCAACCTATAACAACTTTTTGACATTTACCTATAATTCAGTTATTTAATAAAACCGTAATAAATTGCATTTAATGTCTTTACACAAACAATTAGTACTGGCTAGGGAGATAAACTTTTAGTTAGTTTTCTATTGTTACGCTAAATGAAGTATTACTTCATACGTGCTGTACATCGTACGTACTTATGCACGTAAGTTTCTTGTATGTGAGAAGGTGGCAACTGAGCTGGCCGTTAACCTGATTTTAAGTGTTAACCGCCGCCCATGGATATATGCAACACCTGTAGGGTTGCAGATTCGTTGCCATCTTTGATAAAGTGGTTTCTGGTTACTTTGATTTACTTACAAACTGTGGCGCATTTTTACGATTTATTCATCATCATCATCATCATCATTTCAGCCCGTTTGAGTCCACTGCTGAACATAGGCCTCCCTCATAGACTGCCACGAAGTACGATCCTGAGCCACCTGCATCCATCGGCTTCCCGCACATTTGCACAGGTCGTCACTCCATCTAGTGGGGGGTTAACCCACACTGCGATGGCCAGTACGCGGGTGCCACTCGAGAACCTTTCTTACCCAACGGTTATCGGTTCTACGAGCTAAATTCTACGATTTATTGGTTAGAGTTAAACGTAGTTACGTTACGTACGTAGGACAATATTGACATTTAAAGATATTTGTCTACTTGTCTGCTGTTGCTGCTCATTGGTACATACTTAGTCAGCATATTTGAGTATTTGTAAAAGCCACAAATATATTATACATCGAAGAAAGCACCTAAAATTAGTCTACTCCGAATGTATGTACTATTCTTACCGAATGTGCTCTTATGTATGTTCCGTTTATGTTAAACGGACAGATATTGAAAAGAAATGCAAAATCTTCAGTTTAGCTTCTGTGAAAATCTCGCAGTTTTATACGGACACGTTCTATATCATTGGTAACATACGTTGCGTGAGTGAATTTATGTAAATCCAAAATTAAACAAAATCGAAGCGTTCACACGGATACGTCGAGCTTCGGCCATTATTGTTAAACGCATGGCGCGTCGATATCCTGTTCAATGTATAAACTGTTTTCATATTTAACTTTGTCGAATTGTAAATGACTGTGTGATTGATTCATTGTTTCGCTTCGTTTAGGTTTTGCATTTTTCGTTAATCTTTATTCAAAATTATTTTCGTGTTTTGTTACCAGCGTCACGCGCGGCCTTACAATGAGTTTAAGTCATTTAAGATTTTAAATTTGATAAAATAATTTATTAGTTATAGTCGAATTTTATAATAATAGTTTAGATTTTAAAAAGTTCAGCGTGCACTGAGATAGATAAGCGCGTCTAACGGTTCGATAATTAATTTAAAAATAGAGAAATAAATATCATTTCGAGCTAGCGATAAAGAAAAAGAGAGATTACAAATAAATTTTCTATAGCACAGCATATACTTATGTCTTTTCGAATAGAGTGACGCAACAATTTCCATAAAAAAAACTATTCAAAAGCTTCCATTTCGTGCAGACCTTTTGCTGTACGGAACCCAAAACGAACGAGCAATATGTGCGATGCATCATTTTGGTAATTTCGCCCGTCAGTATCGTTATGCCACTTCGAACCTATTTAAGCAATTATCGTCCAACTGGCATGAAATCGCGTAACTAGAATCCACTCCTAATTATGTCAGCATTGTGGGCGACAGAAGGCCTTGATCTCCGCTTATTAGTTACCTACGCAACGATTGGTAGCCGACACTTGCTAACTCACAAACTTTAAGAACGCGTTAGCTTCTCGACGACAATCATTACTGCAAATGATCATTAATAGGAAAATAAATCATACGATCGCACGCCAATATCGCCCCAATTGGTATACAGTATAAGCTAGTTTATAGCATAAGCTCGTAGGAAGTCTCATTTTACATTGAATGATCCAAAGGAATTAATTACCTACATTCAAAATAGACATTAATTCGTAAGAATCTTTATTCCGTTGTACAAATTTAATAATTATTATTTTTCACGGTTAAGTTGACATTGAACTATGAAAAAAAAAACTTATTTGTATAAAACTTCATTTATCACGCACCGCGTACCAATTATTCCTTGAAAATTTTTTCGATTCGTATACCTACTTTTTAATGTATTTGTTGTAGTTTTGGCGATAAGTGAGTACTTGTATGAGTAATTCTGATGATAAATAAAACAAAACTGGCCAAGTGCGAGTCGGACTCGCGCACGAAAGGTTTCGTACTAAAAAACGGCAAAATAATCATGTCTGTGATATGGGAGCCACACTATATATTTTTTTATTCTGTTTTTTAGTATTTGTTGTTATAGCGGCAACACAAATATATCTGTGAAAATTTCAACTGTCTATCATGGTTCATGAGATACACAGCCTGGTGGCAAAACGGACATACAGACAGAGCGACAGCGAAGTCTTAGTAATAGGGTCCCGTTTTGCTTGCAAATTACTATCAATTTTCTATATTACGCTATGCAAAGATGAAAATTTATTTATTATTTTTAAAGAATTGTCCGCATAGTTTTCTTTATATATTGCAAATCCCGTTTACGATCATCAGTTATTTATATATTTACATGTATATATTTTATTTAAAATCTATTAATTAATATGAAATGTCTGCTTATTCAAAAAATAAAATCTCCGCATAAATTTATTTACCATCCAGCTGTTGTGCTCAGTATCACGCGCAGTAGGTAGGTGCAGCTCCACACAACTGATATTCAGTTTGCGATATATAATTTCCATGTAGGTACATGAACATATACCATCGTGTCGCTATTCGCATGACCGACAAAAGCGTCGGACGTGAACGATGTAGTGTCGATGGCAGTAACGGAGAGCGCGACGGCTCCGCGCGGCCGGTGGGAGGCAGTCGCCGGTGATGTAAGAGCGGCTGCCTTCGATGGTGATGTCAGCGCGCCTACACCTCGCCCCCTCTGCTCCCCTCCCCGCGCCCCCTCCACCACCACACCCCGCCGCTGACCGCGCGCTGAACCCTTCCGCAAGTCTGCCTTTACTTATGCGCGCGAAACGAAACTCACCTCACCATATTCATACGACGGGATTCTTTGTCTGGCCTCCTATAGATTCCCGGAAGGCGAAGTGGACCGCTCTATAGATTCGCACACGTGAAGTTGGAATACACGGTCGCAACATAAGTGCAAAAGCTTACTAAGACGTGTTGTTCGCCTTAGATCCATTGATGTGCCTACACAAAAGTATTGCCGCAATGCAGTCGTTCGAGCAGCTAGTTTTAGTAGAGCGAAATAATACAAGTTGTTTTAAAGTTACATGAACGTTTCCAATGACGTGTTTAAAGCCCTGAGCTTTAACTACGTTCTTTACACTGCATGATTATACTTTAAATTTTGTTCAATTCAAATACAAGGATCGTCGAAAAAGTCATTCTTTTTTTAAAGCTTCTAAATCATAATGGAATTCTTAAAATAATTCTTTCGTGAACTTTAGCTGAAACGATGTTAATTTCCTACGGCAAAAGGAATGAAGTCGCAAACCGAAAAAAATTGTATAGTGATAGTTGCGACTGGCAGCGTGTGCAAAGCGTACATGGTCTCGTACATTGAACGTAGTCATCGAGAGTGAAGTGGACATTGAACGATGGATCCGAGCATACACTGAGTGGAGAACTCTCGCGGCCGACAATGGAGGGTGCGGTATTGAGCGCCCAGAGCAACAGCAGATTCCGCGCGCACTTGAAGAACGCGGCGAGCGCTCTATGCGCGAGGACACTGCCGAAGCAGAGATGCAGCGAGGCCTCGGAGAGCTCCTCGCGCCACCACACTTACCCGCGCGCCAACCCGCCTAAGCGGGCGTCGATCCCCTGCCGCATCGAGCCGCCGCTCTGCGACGCACCGCCCACCTACCACCCGCCCGACATTGTCCAAACTCAAGGGACGGACACGCACAAGAACGCTCCCAACGGCATGGTCAAGTTGAAGGGAGCATTAGCCAGGTAAGAGACACGGTAACATGTCAATCATGAACTTAATTTCTCAAACCTATAATTTCTTAAGCCTAGACCTTTTACAGGCGACATTCGCTTTATTAGTTTGTCTCATCGTTCATAATGCGTACGGAAAAGGTTTGAATAGTCTGGGCGCATCTGCCTTTCTTTCCGATTACCATGTGAGTGTCTTCAAGGGAAGAGTGAATAGGCTTTTAACAGGGATGTTAGTATGTTTACCACCAGCGTATAAATCACCACTTACCGTGAGGTGATGGTACTCTAAGCCAATTTTTGAAAAAAAAAAAAGGTTATAATTATGTTAAAATTAGGACAGTTAAACTTTGACGTCGGCGGGCCTTGCGCATTGAATTAGTAGTTTGGTGTCGCATGTACGACCGAAAATGAGAAGTGGACGCCTATCTCACCCGTGGGTCAACAACATCGGCATGACATCATGGCGACTTGTTTACTCAGACCGTGGGGTTGGTGTCGGTCGTTACGCACGCTCCGCTTTAACTGTCGCTTTATGCGCATTATTTATCTAGCTAAGGTAGAGGAAGCTGACATATTTTTACTCAAAATTATATAGTTCCGCATTGAGCAAAGTATTTACTTTGGCTACTAGTTAGCATACTAATTAAATATTATAGATATATAAAAACCCAGGCACTAGAAACACTATGTCCATCATACAATATTTTTCTCGTAGTTGAGATGGAACCCACGCCCGCTAGCGCTAGACACAGGCATACTATCCACTATGCCACGGACAAGATACAAATGCTAGTGGTCAAGTTAACACTTAAAAGGTTAACGCGTTTCGCATATTCATCCTTTTTTATTTATTTTTTTACGTGAGAAAAATCCTTTATGGATCCCCCGCCGCCTTGTGGGTAGGCAGTAGGGGTATGTGGGAGTTACACGTGTACCCACTAAAAACCCACGTTGCACCTGCGCTGTCGTTTTGCCGGGGACACGGGAACACGAAAACGCAATCTTCCGTGAACCCCGGCGCGACTAGCCTTCTCAGACCTCTCCCCGGGTGTTAGGGACACCCGGTCCAGCCAAATGGTGCCGTGTCGGTGCAATGAACACGGCACCCCTCAAGCCCTCCGCGGGGCAGCAGTTAGTCTCGCATATTCATCTCACGCTAACCTCATCTCGACTGTCGCTTTTCGAAGTTTGAATACGATAACTTAACAGGTCCTATTCACGTAATAACCTAATAACGTGTTAATAAACATAGTATAAGGTCATAATACATTTTTCCACTTTCGCCTAATGACAAACTAAAGTCAATTAAGCGAAGCTGATGAGCACAGGGGAAATCAGTGCGAAGAACGCCGCAGGCACGTGTCCTAACTTGGTTTAACAACTTCACATTACGTCAGATCCAAAAGCTCGCAACTTAGTCATGACCCCGGCAGCCATTGTAGGTACGAGTTATGTTAATGTACACATTAAGCTACGCTCCAATGAGAATATTTAAAATGAATCTATATTTACAATTTTTATACTGTCATCGCTTCTTCGGTATTATCAATATACATATAGTCTTTACCTATTTATTTTCTATAATCTTTTTTATATCCTTTACCGCTCTTCGAAAGTTAAATTTATGTTGATCCCTCCACAACCAATTCAATTATTTGAAAAGAGAAAAAAAGATAATCGATGTGGTTATGTTTTCATTTTGTAAGGAAATTCAAGATGACTTTCATTAAATTGATAAGGTTTAAGCGTAATTATTTAAATTCTATTAACGGTTTAGTGCAAAGAATGTAGAACTGTTTGTTAATATTTGTCAATAAAAAAGATACTTAAATATCAAATAATGAAAAATGTAAATCATAACATTTTACCTAACATACTGTTCTCACTAAGGTGAACACGGCCACCTCACCGTTATCTGACCGGAAGTGGGGCATTGTCATTATTGATCGGGGCCAGATTTGATTACAGAGCAGCGCGAATAAACTTTACGACCCATAAATCGTTTCCGACAGATTGTTTTATCGTAATAATAGAAAACACGCGGAAGATAAAAATAGTATCGATGAAAAAAAAGGCTAGATGATCAAAGAAAAATCGATAGTCATAAGTAAAAGTTTTGTCTGTGATGAAAATATTTGCTCCAAAACCATCGTCATCGTCTAAGCGAGACGTCCGAATCCGCCGATCGAACGTACTTAATTGAACACGTATGGAGTAAATACACCCCGCTAGAGTATTTATAATAAGCGAGACGGTAAGCACGCCGTCTCGCTCGCGCACCATGATGTCATGGCATATTTTTGTAAACGCTCGACCGGCTGGGTCGCACTCGTTTGTAATCTTTACTCTCCTCGTTCGTATCGCCTTTACGATGACACGTTGCCGCTAATACGTTGACGATCATTTTCCGATGTTCTATTGATCATTTCAGAACTAACGCATCCTAATAGAGCAATCATCAATTATTGCATAAACGGCGACCACAATATGAACGACTCTTTATTTTTTTGTAAACTGTTGTTTTGAATTACACCTTTGTTTGATGCTTTTGCGAAAATTATCTTTCTGGCGCAAGAATTGAGAATTATTATTAATAATTTTAATAACAAAACCACTGAACTTTTGTTTTACGCTTACAACGTCGTTATGATAAAATATTTTTAATTTAGCAACTAAAAAGTCTAAATTTAATTTTTCGATTTTAATCGCGCTTTTTCATAAAATTAAAATGAAACTGACAAAGTTCGGTACTTTTAAATCATATCTATCCCAATGACTAAATTTATAACTCGAAAGATTTACTAAATTTATACTTAATATTTTCTATTAAGTCAGTTATTGCTTACCCAATTTGCGGCGGAATCCTCTAATGCATTAAATATTCTAAATGGCGCATTATAGAGTTACTGCCACACTGACCTCATCAGTCATTTTTATGTTGATATAATAATCGAACAATGAGAGGTTTGTTTTCTTTGTCGAAGTTCCAAGCACATTTATATGAACCACCCGCCTAATGTGTAAGCACTAGTTACAATTTACGTGTCAATCATATCGTAAATTTTGACATGGGATCGTGTTGAGATTAATGATATGGTCTAATGCTTCACGCCGAAGATCAAAGTTTTCTTTTTAAATCAAATTATTAAATGATCGGTATTAATTAATGCCATATTAGGAGGTATGATGTAATGTATTTGTTATAGGTATCTACGATGAAAACTTACGTAACGATTCCTTAATGTGTTATTTATATATTCGAGACTGTATTCGACTTCATTTACGGATTGTTTCTTTATATTTTCATGGTATTAAGGTGGAAGTGTTTTAATTTAGTTTCTCGAAACGATGAGGCTGACGGTAGCTATGATATCAGAATATCAATCATCACAATTCCTCCGCGTCCGTTCAGTGAATGTACCAAAAGCGATCAAAATCAATACGAAATTTTTGAGCGAATGGCCGTTGTCGTGGAAGACTAGCGTGAAGTGTAAGTATTATACTTTTGCGTGCTGTCTAGTGAGTGAGGTATTTGGGGCACACCGTTTTAATGTTTGGCAATCTAATGCTTTTTGTAGATGTATAATAATCTACAATGGAATCAACGGCCTTCTCGTTTGCCACGTTTACGTATGAAAACAAACTTAATATATTGGTAATAAATAATTGGAATAAAATTTTATGATTAAATAAACGTGTTGGCGAGGGAATCAATAAAAAAAAAATGATGATCCGGTAATTCTACACCTTACACATTCTTACACCTGTTATAACGCACATCCTAAATTTTTCCATATCCACATCTTCCTTTCCCTCCCTCTGGAAAAATGCACAAGTGATCCCCTTACCCAAAAAAGCAAATCCTTCGAGTTTTTCCGAATATCGTCCTATTTCTATTCTCCCATTCCTTTCTAAAGTCCTTGAACGCCTTGTCAAGAACAAATTTATTCCTTTTGCACTAAAAGCAATATCCTCGATCCGCTTCAGTCTAGTTTTAGATCTGGTCATAGTACGACTACAGCATTATTGAAAATCACTGACGACATTCGCTTCGGAATGGACAGTCGTCTAGTCACAGTATTGGTCTTGTTGGATTTCAGCAACGCCTTTAATACTGTAGATCATGACATTCTGTTAGGTGTACTGCGTTCTCGTAACATATCTCCAACTGCAATTTCCTGGTTTCATAGTTACTTGTATGGACGCCAGCAGCGTATTCGAGTTCAGGACAGGTTTTCTTCATGGCTTGATACTGTAGCTGGTGTTCCACAAGGTGGCGTGTTATCCCCACTGCTATTTGCAATTTTCATTAATACCATTACCTCCCAAATATCTTCTCTCTACCACTTGTATGCAGATGATCTCCAGATTTACACTCAAACCACTGTAGAGGATCTTCCAAAAGCTGTGGATAATATTAATAGGGATTTGGCTTGTATTCTAAACTGGAGTCGACGATATGGTTTGACTGTTAACCCTATAAAATCTCAAGCCATAATAATTGGAAGTTCAAGATTAATCACAAAATTAAATAAGAACCAAATAGATCCAGGTATTTTTAATGGCACGGTAATCCCTTATAAGGACAGTGTAAAAAATTTGGGTATACTGATGGACTCCAGTTTCTCTTGGACACCTCTAATTAATGCCCGCAAAATGTTTGCAGCATGTAGTTCGCTCAGACGACTGAACTACTTTTTACCCATTTCCACCAAAATTACGCTCGCTCATTCTTTGCTGCTCCCAATCCTTGATTATGCTTACATATGCTATCTCGACATCACTGAGGAGCAGCTTAATAAACTTGAGCGACTCCAAAACCTATGCATACGGTTCATATTTGGGCTTCGTAAATACGACCATGTATCAGAATATCGCATTAAGCTCAAGTGGCTCCCGATTCGTTTTCGCCGAAATACTCACATTATTTCTGCTCTTTACTGCGTCCTATTTAACGTATCAAGTCCGCAATATTTGAAGGAACGTTTTCAATTTCTTTGCTCCTCTCATAATCTTCCTTTACGTTCAAATGAAAACCTTTTCCTTAAACATCCTATGCAATCCTCTAGTTTTTTTTTTACCATAAATCCTTCTCTGCTGTTGCTGTTAAACTCTGGAACTCTTTACCTCTGGCTATAAAACGTGCTAAAACCCTAGACTCTTTTAAAAAACAGGTTAAGGAGCATTATCTGTCTGTCTAGCTCCTCTCTATCTTTCAACGTCCCTCTCTACCCCTTTTAATTTACCTTTAACTCTATGATCACTCACTTGAAGTATGTTTTTCTTATTATTTTAATTGATACTTTCTTTTTACTATTATTATTTTTTTTCCTTCATGTACATCCTACCCATCAACAATTCCTTTTGGTAAATTTTTGAGGTTGTCTGGAAGAAATTGCTGTGTAGCAATAAGGCCGCCTTTTGATGACCAATATTTTGTTAAATATTTTGTTTTTTGTACTTTTTCATTTTGATTTTTTTGGTGTACAATAAAGTATATTATTATTATTATTATGTGGTTCATTTATTTCTCTCAGGTATGACCTGGTGATATTAAGTTAACACGGGTTTTAACCAAGTGTTAACTTAAATTTGGGTGGTTGGTAACCTAAATTGTGGGGATGAATATTCGTTATCAGAGCTAAGTTGAAGAAATTTTCGAAGGATGCGGCACGTGTTAAGTATGGCAGCTTTTTGTAAAGTTATGTATGTGTGTTTAGGTAGGTCTAGTAATTTAAGAGAGTTATGCAAGGCTTTAGGTATAACGCCCGTAGTGGATAAGATTATAGGTACTATAGAAACTCTGTCCAATTTCCAGACTCTTCTTATCTCTTCCTGTAATTCGGTGTATTTTCTTATTTTTTCGGTGATGGTTGATTGTATGTTGTTTGTGTTTGGGACACCTATGTCTATGATGTATGCATGTTTACTTATTTTGTCTACGAGCGTGATGTCTGGGCGGTTATTGTGGATTGTGTGATCAGTAAGAATGGTGCGGTCAAAGTACAGTTTATGAGTTGGACTTTCCAGCACATGTTGAGGGTTGTATTTGTAGTATGGTGTGGTTCTATCTTTGATGAGGTCGTGTTTGATTGCAAGTTTTTGATGTAATATGTTAGCTAATTGGTTATGACGGTGGGTGTAGTCGTTTTGGGTTAAAGTTGTGCAAGCTCCTGTTATATGTTGAATGGTTTCAGGCTTATTAAGACATTTGCGGCATATATCTGATTGTAGTGTTCTATCTTTAATTATGTATTTTCTGTAGTTCCGTGTGTTGATAACTTGATCCTGTATTGCAATTATAAAACCTTCCGTTTCGGGAAACAATCCTGCGTAATCTAGCCACTTATTTGAAGCTTCCCTATCTATAAATGGTTGGTTGAGATCACTGGGGTGTCGACCGTGAAGCTCCTTTCTACTCCATCTATTGCATTTGTCGTGGTAATATTGTTTTTCATCAATTTCTTGTATATTTTCCTGATTAAGATTCAGAGGTGTATAACATTTATCTATTGTACAGATCGTATCGTGTAACAGGCTCGATGATTTTTTGATATTGAAAAACTTTTTTAATCCGTGTAATTGTTTACTATGTAGCATAACGATATCTATAAGACCTCTCCCACTATCTTTTCTTTGTTGTGCGCTCTATTGCAGATTTAGGATGGTGATAGCGGTATTGGGTAAGCGTAGTTCTGGTTTTCATTTCTAAGGCTTGTAATTATGATATAGACCATTTAATAATGCCAAAAGAATATGTCAATATCGGTATTGCGAATGTGTTTATAGATTTGAAGAGATTCTTACTGATGAGATTGCTTTTGCACAATAAACGAACTCTATTTAAATATTCTTGCTTAAGATTCAATTTAATATCTGTATGATCTATTTTACGTGACTGATAAAAGCCTAAATATTTGTATAATTATTATTATTATTATTATGGGGTGATATTCATTTGTCTTCCCGTCTGGTTGGGTTTATAAATAAAAATAAAAATATAGATACATATTGCATATATGTATAAAATAAAATAAAATAAAATAAGTAAATATTATTATTATTATTATTATTCTATAGACCGTTATTGATAGAACAGCGTTCATAAATGTATGAATATCTATTCGATTCTTATTCGCTTTCGCAAACATGTTTATATTCTCCAGCAAGATTATTAATAGTACGCTGCGAGATTTCTCATTTTGTTCCCCTCGTAGGAAGCAATAGTACAGCCCAGCGGCGCCTCCTCAGGTTATCTTCCAGGTCATGAGCGTGAGGTGCCCTGTCATCTACTGCGCCAGTCGCGTCACATTCAATCCATTTACAATGGTATAAAATCGCCCGATTCACTTTGTTAACGTTCAGAAAATTTTATTATTTCATTCCAACAACAGAACAAAAGTTATGGATAGAATTTACGAAGTTGTCGTCCTCGCAATGAGTTATTTTGTGTTTATATTGTCCTTCAGTTGCCATAATGTTGAGTCACGTTGTGATTGTGAACTTTCAAGGCATATTAGTTGCGAAAGGTGAGTATTTTATTGCCTTATTGGGTGACTAATAAATTACAGATTAAAATTTCAGTTCTTCATATAAATTATGATTTTAAATTCATTGGCCCGAATGTGTTAAGCCTAAAAATAATTTTGATAACATTATCATCAGATACAAGACGTCCACTGTTGGACCTAGGCCTTCCCCTTAGACTGTCACAATGAACTAGCGGGCCATTTGCATTCACCTTAAGAAAATTAATAATAAAATATACCGAATATGTTTTACAATAGATTTTAATTAAAATACCGTGATCAGTATTATGATGTAAGTCTGAACAACAAAGCCATTTATGCTCCGTCCATTAATACAGTCACTTTTTTATTTAGCCGAGATAAAATCAACCTTGACTTGATACTGTGATAATTTTGTCAGGTCATTGACAAGCAAACTATACGACAGCATTATTAATGGAATCGAAAACATTTTAACGCGTGAAAAGTTAAAATGTAAACAAAATGTATCGTCGTGTTTCACATTTGTACATATTTTAAACCAGTGAAACGTGCAGGAAAATTTAAAATAATTGCTCAATATTAGCATTTTTTTATGAACGGTGGTCGCTTGCGGTTCATCTGATGGTAAGGGTTATAAGTGCGCTGTTAAACTTTAAGGGTGTTGGCCCTTTGTAGTCGTGAGTTCATATAAGTACTTAAATTTTTATTGAAAGTATATAATAATTTATCAATTGTATTTGCTAAAAGTTAACATAATATATTTCGTTACTAAATGCACACACAATACGTTAATGTAAGTTACAAAGTTATAACGGCCTAAACATTATATGACCCACTGCTGAGGGCTTCCAGTGGCTATTACGGGCAAAAGTTTACATATGTTTGAATGATTTTTCTTATTTATTTATTTATTTATTGCTAACCGTAAGAAAAAAAGGTAACAAAGGGCGGGCTTAATGCCAAAAGGCAGTCACTCTACCAGTCAACCAAAGATGTAGTAAAAGTTTATGGTAGCTGCAGTAAGGGTAGTAAAAATTAAAAAATATTAATAAAAAAGAAAATAAATTATGTTTTCCTACCAAACAGTAGTGCTGGGATGCTGGGAAATAGAGAGTTTTCATAAGATAAATTAGCAGTTAAAACTGCAATTAACAGTTTTATTGATGCACCTTGTTAATGTTATTTATTACTACGTGGCGCAGTTGCCAAGATATTGGCTACGGCACACGGTACAATTATTTGTATGACCCAGATAATAATTTCAGATCTGGGTGTATGTAAAAAGTCCTTACAACACAGGATAATGGTATCCTACAGTAAGTGCAGCATTTTGTAATAAAGAGAAAAATAAAGATTTGTAATATGTATTCCAATTATGAAAACATACTGAATTACAAACGAGCGTTTGGACAATGTGCTGCCGTGGTAATAGTAATTATAAAATCAACTATTATACCTGATTAAACGCCAACGTCAAACGCAAAAAATTAAAAATTAAACGCAAACGCCATGGACATGTACAAGATTCAAGTGCATGCGTTGACTACCATTAAAAAGTGGGCCCCGGCTCACTCGCCAGACGAAATACGCAAGTATGTAATACTTTCACTTCACGCCAGTCTTTTGCACATACCCCATATACATAATCTAATCTATTGATATCACTATTAAAATTATATCTGAGGTATACAACCTTTCGCATCAGACATGTATGTATATCTCTTTTGCATCATCTAAGAGCAGACATTGAGGGTTTCTGCAGACAATCCTGATGCGTTTCGCAAATGGGGCGATCCCAGCAGCATTACACGCGCATTGTTCGCATTGCGCGACTAGTGAAAAGTTTGTATTGTTTGTATCGTCGCCCTAGCGAAGAAAATCCCGTATATTAAATAAAGAATGTAGTCTACAATTGCTAAGCGATTAAGCGCTTCTCGTGTTACAATCGGCGGCCGTGGGCGAGATGTCGGGGCGGTAAGTAACTCTAGCCACGTAGCATTTGTCACACGACGCCGCGGGACGTACCGGCTCTCGGGTTCACGTGGGAATGGACGCCTTCGAATGCCCGACGGGGCCTTTCTTGGTAACAAGACTCTGGAATGTCACTGTTGTTTTGTCTACCGCAAACCGGAAGCGGAACGGGCCGTCGCTTGCCGTGAATAGCGGTATGACAATAAGTTTGGTCATAGAGGGAATGGTGAAATTGCAAATCTTTCTATATTACCTGGAATATTGAAATGAATATTCAATATCCCCTGGAGTATTGAAAGATACGCTAAATAAAATAGGTAGATATAAAACAATGTTTTCAGAGTAATCTCCGATTTAGCCTCCGGAAACTTTTTTAACTGAACTTTTCGTGATCGACAAGTAATTATTGTATGACAGTATTAGGATAGGGAGGTTATATCATCAGTAACAGATTGCGACTGCGGAAGACGTCAATCGTCGGAAAATATAACACTGACGTGAGCTCTAACAAGTTTAGAGAATGTTGTGCATCGTTATATAGTATGTTTCGTTTGTTGGCTAACAAAGTTTTAAAATATCGGATTTTGCATTAAAACATTACCCCTCCTAAATTGTAGCTAAAATGTATTATTTATTCTTCTATTCTTTGAAAATCTGGAGATTAACCATTAGATCATCTGGACGAACACTAACAAAGCTCCTGGGTCCAGATTTGGGACAAACAACCATATCTGGACCTAACGATTTTTTACACTGTGGGAATCTATGTAAATCACAGTACGACTTGCAATGGCAATCGCCGAAGTGAACACTTGAGCTCCGACTTTGCAGTCGGCGCCGAAGCGAACAGAAAATAACGTGCGTGGTGACGCAGTTGCTAAATTCGAGGTTGTAAGTTCGATTCCCACACGGGACAAGTACCTATTTGTGTGACCCACGGATAATTGTTTCGAATCTGTTGGTTTATTCCCAGGGGGGTTGATGTCAGGCAGTCGGCCGGTCGTAAAAGAAACGAATCCAATACCATTACCTATACGTGATACACATTTTCTGCCGACCACATCTAAGTGGGATAAGGGCAGGAGAAAGAAGAGAAGAAGTGGCGCTTACGTTCGTGGTTCCAGTACTTAAACTGAAACCACGAACGTAAACTTCGCTTCTTCTCTTGGACTTACCAAACCGTAGGCGCGGATACTGTGCAGTGTAGTTTTCAAGTATACGGAATGCATGCGTACACAAGTGCGTAGGCGAGGCAAGCGTATATCGGGAATTGTAGATAATGGTTGTTGCAGGGAGGTGGCGAATGCCTGGGAGTGCCGCGTCGGTCCTCCCGACCAGCCGGCGTCCGCCCACCGCGTGCAGGGCCTCTTCAACGACATCGAGCTCTACCCCACTAAGACGCAGGGTACGTACTAATTACTCTTAAGAAATTGTATTGTTGTACAACTGTGTATATTGTGGTTAATCTATGTCTTTTTATTATGCCAACTTCACGAGCTCAGCGGTGAACATCTTGAGGAAACCTGCATATTGTCGAAATAATAACCAAAAACATTTCTCGAAGATATGTGAAGTCAGCCAATACGCGGCTGGATCGCGTGGTAGACTATACACTAATAAGAGTATTAGGACTGTACAGAAGAAGCCTTTTCCCTGGATTGGGACATAATTTATAGGCTGTTACTTTCCTTTACTGGTGGTTACATTCCAATCTACCGAACCGATTGCAACAATCGGTTGTAAAAATATTATATTTGTAAGTTTATAAGGAACAATTTAAATTAAGTTAAAAACTTTCATAGTTAAGCATCAACCTCCATCATGTATAATAGACATTATGACATAATCAAACAATTGGGCATCGCAATAATCCACGTATAAAACATTTTGCATCTGAAAGTTTGGAAGCTTTGTACCTCGATGTTATAACTTATAACTCGTTGTTATTTATTCATTGATACCATATGATTTAATGGAATACTAATGCGTACCGAGCGGTGCCGTAAAAAAATAAAGTTTAAGGACAGTCATTGGCTATCTATAATATCGTGACAGGGGACGAAACCCGGGTGTACATTACGATGTCGATTGAAAACTAAATAACTCTGCTTTCGATGAAGCTTTATTAGTGTATGGACTGAAAACAAAAACATCAGTAAAAGTAAAAGTACTAAACGACTATGTCATACTACGATATCCCATGCGCACATTCCGCTAAGATGATAAACGAGTATTTGTAGGCCTTTTGGCAAATCTGGGACTTTGACGCATTATTCACCGTTTTACACAAGTCCCTATTATGAAAGATATTGATGTTCTTGATGTGAAGCAATAGGTTGTCGAATTCATTACCTAAATGGCTTCTTCTAAATTCTCAAGGAGTTCTTGTCAGTAACAAAAACAGGCCGTCAAGGAAAGAAGAAAATAGTAACGTATAACGTTTGACGTCGAGTATTACCACAAGACGATGATGATGGCATTATGACGTGACGCGAGTTGCTAAGCGATGCATCACTGTTTTAGCCTATGACGAGTTGACGCTAAGAAGTGGTGTAGAAAATTTTATAAATATATATAAGATAAAAATAGATCAAAAATATTGCGCGTTCTTTGTGACATGGCACAGTCTTTTATGTATTACCTCTCAACTTTAACTTTACTTTTTAATCTAATAGAAAAACAAACCAAATATACTTACCTAATAGCTCTACCAAACAGATTTCAATAAATATATACGTATTGTTGTGTTTATTGATATAAAAAATGGCGAAGCGCGAGTCGGACATGTGAACGAAGGGTTCTGTAAAATTTTATCTATAAAAACGGCAAAAAAATCATGTCTGTCATGTGGCATTAAAATATATGCCCCAGTATATATTTTCCCAGGCTGTATCTCATGAACCGTGATAGTTAGACAGTTGAAATTTATAGAGATGATGTATGACGGCAACCGAACCGTTATAACAAAAAATACTAAAAAAATATTCAAGTATATTCCTATACAACGGACATGTTCTTTTTCTCATTTTTACAGATAATGGTAAGGAACCCTTCGTGTGCGAGTCCGACTCGCACTTGGCCGATTCTTTAAACTAGTCTTGTAACAATAAAAACCATTGGATGACTGATTTCTTACGTGTCAGCAAAGCCACACCCATAACCTTACTGTTGTAGACTGCACACAACATTCCGTAATGGATTAAAGTAAGGAAGCCATTATTGCAAATATTATAATGTTGGCTAAGTTTTTGCTGTGTTAGGGTCTGTGCAGCACCTTCTACTGTTGCTTAAGTGGGCGAGCTACTACACGAAAACCGCCACAAAGTGGAATTATTATACTTTCGCTCACTTTCAATAGAGATAATTTCAGATTTGATTTGTGTTGTATCAGTTACGTTTCGACATTATGATAAGATAATAATTTTTGCAATTACATACTATAACTAGGAAAATACGAAAAGTATTTGCTCATGTCATATCAAGATTTCGTATGTTATAATACTAGCATAATGAAAGCAGTAAACATTTATATTTGCATGAGTTGTTTTTCGATGAATCATGAAAATTAATCTCACATTCAAAATAATGACTGATTTTTTAAGTTATATTATTTTTTTTAGTCTAGTCAGGCTTTTTTCTAACCAACATAATATTAAAGATATAACCCAGCTTTTACCGATTTATACAACTATAAACTCAATGACTCAATAATTGGATAACAATAATGCTTAGCTTTTCCAACAGAGTTTATTGGAGACAAGTTATAAAATACAGCTTCTACCGATTTATACAACTCTAACTCAACGATGACTCAATAATTCGATAACAATAGCACTTAGCTTTTCCAACAGAGCAACAGCTTTAACTACCAATAACCAAATTTATACCGCTCAAAAACCAATACCAACTATCCACCCATTCTAAGGTGTAGGAAATATCACGACTTATTTAAAAGTTGTAGGTATCAAACCAACAACTTTTAAATAAGTCGCAACAAACTGTACTAATAAATTATTAATATATCTAATTAATGATAAATTATTATTAATATTAATAATTTATTATTATTATTATTAATTTAGCATTAATTAGGTTAAATATGTGCCATAATTATAACAATAAGTATTAAAATTATCCACCACATTGTTATGATCGTATCTAAAAATAAGCTGAATGGCTTTGTTCTAACTTCCGGTTTTCTTTCTCCTAAAATCGTCAAATGCATAAACTGTGTAAAAAAACAGGCTTACTTTATAGTCAAAGGTTTTTGTGTTATAACAAAATCAGTTACTGAATAAACATTGCCCTTTTCGTTTAAAATTCCTGTGGGGAATGTAAGAAATATAATTTTTTTACCTTTCGTTGTTTATAAAAATAATACAGTATTCGCTTAAATTTTATAAATCAATATTTTTCAACTCGCCACAAAAAATAGATAAGTAGTAGATAAGTCGCCTTATTGGTGATTCATCCTGTCGCACCTATTTTGATGTAAATTAATACTGAACTCCAAACCGTGAACTTAACATTTAAGGAAGCAATGGTGTGAATGACCTCGAAACGTTTTCTCGCTCCGTTTACTAGTCTGATTACGGCCAAGTCATTGGAAACAATCCGATGACTGTGCGGCGGATTGACGGATAGATAAGTGACGTCAGCACGCCACCAGTTGAATCAAGCTTTAATCCATTGAAATTGCGCAGAGCGAGTTCGCATGCCGCGAATTATTTCGCAGTTAGCATATCATATACTGTTACCGTTGATGAGATAAGCAGGGATTTATTGCATTTAGCTAGCTGGCTCCGTACTCCTTTCGCTAATCGTGCGGTTAAATAGTCCACATTATGAAACATTTTGTATGTTTAACCGTGTCCACGATAGACTTTGTACCTTGCTAAATCTACTCTGATTCTGTACTTTTGTGTCACTTACCTGTTGATTTTATTGTATTATATATTTTTCAAAAAGAAGTAAAATCGTCAAATTTTGACAAACAAAAAAACTTTTAAAAGATCCTTTTATTACATGGGCGAAGGTGAAATAATCCAAGAGTATTCCATATGTATACATACTTGTGTATAACATTAACACATACATACACGCAGGACATGCACAAAATTTAATTGGTGTTTTACGATTATCAGTTTCTTATACCTATGTGTTTAGATCAACATTGTAAACTTAATGACTTTGATGCAAAACCGTAACCGTAATTACCGTTTTGTATGAAACAAGTAAGAGTAGAGTATTTTACTTTCAAACTTTTTTATTTCTGTTATTATTCTATATATTATTCAAAGTAATCATGCATGTAATCCAAACACCTTTGCGAACACCGTGGTAGGTTATTGAAGCCCACCTTGTAAAAATTAGCTGGACGGGAGGCAACAAACTCTTCAAAGGCATTTTAAAGAGTTTGTTGCCTCCCGTCCGCTAAAAAGTCGCCGAATTTTAAAAATAAGTAATAGTCATAAAATAATAATACAGTTATAAAATAAAAATAAAAAAACATAATTATTAAATATAAAAATGTAACACATTATATAATTCTAACATATAATACTTTTAAACGATACAATAAGTATAACTTTACATATACATACAATACTTTAATATACGTATATAAATAAACATATATTATATACATATACATACACATTTATATCTGATGATGTCATGAAACTGCTGGCAATTTCCCCAGAATGTACTTGCGTGCCATTTTCTTTAAAGCAAAGCGATTCTTAGCCATTCTAATTTTGAGAGGGAGCTCATTCCAAAGAAGGATAGATTGGACAAAGAAAGAGGAATGGATAAAATCAGATCGGTGAGTGAGGAGAACATAACAGAAGACGATTATGTTTAGAGCGAAGATTCTTCGTATTGATTGTGCTAAGGTATTGGAAGTGAGGAGATAAATATGAAGGAGTAAATGGGGAATTAAGGTAAGAAAAAAGTGTGGTCAGGGTTCTTAGGGAGCGTCGTTGTCGAATGGTTAGCCAATTTAGTTGTGACCGATACGACGATACATGGTCATATTTGCGGATATTGAAGACGAATTTCATTCAGGTCAAAGTAGCATACGTCACTATAGTCGATTAAAGGAAAAATTAAGACCTGTACGAGCGTTACTTTAGTTTTTATCAGCAGGAAATTTTTAAGTCTTTAAAGACAGCGCAAGACACTAGTTACTCTTTGGCTGACACTAGCTATTTGATCTCTCCAACAACACGTCCCGTCAATGAGCAAACCTAAATTTTTAACCTTATTTTGCAGGGGAATGGGGGAGCTGCCAAAAAAAATTGTTGGAAAGTTAACTAGATTTACTCTACTAAGAGTGCGGGAACTCTCAACTACCATGGCTTGACAATTGGACGGATTTACGGTTTATCCAAAGTTATCTGACCA